AAAGCTGTTTTGTCAGACTAGTATGGGACTGCTTAGCAGTGCGCACCCACTAACCCACCCTCCCCTGACCGAACCCGCGACCTTCAAGTTCCGTGACCAGGACGTTACCGTTGAGCCACTGTGTCAGAATCCACTCTGTTAGCTCATGATGTAGCGCAACCGCCATCCAATATCATCATTGAATAACTGTCCTCACGACCATCAGGCTTAGCCCCGAAGCTCCCGAAGTTGCAATAAGAAGTCGTGGTCAGTGGAGCAAAGCCTGATGGTCATGAGGACAGTTACTCAACGATGACATTGGGTGGCGGTTGCGCTTTATCGTATACTATCATTACTGTCATCACACAACAGTCAGTCTGCGTAATTTATAGAGTTGATGACACATCTTTGTATAACAGAATGACTATACTGTGTTACAGTTCTCTTCTAACCATTCTACACCTATAGGGGTAGACATGGAAAGGGTACACATATGTGAGAAGGCATAAATAAAAAATAAGGTAAGTTGATAGACAAAACTTTGAAATTAGTCTAATTTGGTGGAAGTAGAATAAGGCTGTATAAATCTGTTCATGACCAGATTAAAACACAAAATGAATCCTTAGATTGTGTTATATGAAGTCACTATACCCTATATTATAGTTTGTTGTGATGAATTATGTTGAAGGTATTCTATCACTGACTTTTAAATTATACATACTGGGTGATGATTGAAGAAGGTGGATTGAAAATTTGAACCGTGGTCGGATTCGAACCAGTGACTATCGGGTTTCCCGCTAGATGATACTCTACTAACTAATGTCGTATCCATCTAAATAAATTCCTCATTAAGTTATTCTTAGGAGTAACCTTAATAACCGTGAATACTTTCGGTTTGTATAAAATATTGGAAATGAGATTGTTTTATTCTTACAGAAGTCTAGACGAGTGAGTATGATTTTTTTCCTAAGAATATTGACACAGGTAGATCAATAAACTGACTAACCTACTGGAAGAGTGAATGACTGGCTTATTCTTCCTATAGGACGTTGTAAACTCAGAAGCTTAGAATTCTGCAGGCTACATATACTAGAATAAACTAGTTTGGAAACTATTTATGAATAATATTACTTCGTAATTGAAATTTGTGCAGTAGTGTCCTAAAGCCCAAAATAGTTGGCGATCCATATTTTGCCTGAAATTTGTGACTACTCATAAGTAGTGTAAAATATATTGCAAATCGTTTTGTAAATGTGTAGTAAATATAAAATCCGATCACTTCTATTTGGCTACTGAATGTTAGTGATTATCGTCAGTATCGATGTTATGATGAGATGGCAGTATGGAGAGCAGACACTTGCTGCACAGGAATCCAACACTAACCAAGTATAATGAAGTCTGATTTACAGTCAGGTTACACAGTTCTCATGATTAACTAACTGATAAGGAATCTAGAGATTGTTCGTTTAAGTTTAACCGAAGGTGATATTCATCTTCATCTTCACATATCCTCTTTGTACATGAACTGGACACCAGTAGGCAAGTAATGTAGCGGTCTAGAGCTCAGTGTATAACTCTGACCGGTGTCTGTCGATTACGTTTGCCAAGAGGCCACTGATTCAAGCGACATGTCACTGAGATGTCTTTCTGATCAGAAGTCGAGAATAATAAACACATTTTATGTTTAACTGTCTTGTTTTAGTCAAAAAGATCTCAAAGTGGATATATCCAACTAGAAGTGAGAGTCTCAACCCCAAAAGATGTGCGCAAACGATCTTAGTTTTATAATGTTCTCTGACCTAGGTTGTTGAGTAGATATTGTTATGTTGGATGAAAACCATGGTGACAAAATTCAACGTCTTCTGAACAACTTCTGCAGAAATCTTTTCATGTTTGACATAGGTTTCACACCTTTCAGATGTAAAACAATGTCTGAGAACTGGTCTACGACTACTCCCTGTTTGATGATAGGCAGTGAAACTGTAGGATATGTCGACTACCTCACTTACTTATGGAGTTGCATCAGTTCGAATGGAACGACTGCTGACAAATTCTCAGTTCGGATAAAAACAGCCCGTTTGGCATTTGTTAAATTGTATCGTCTGCGGTGCCATTTGGTGAGATATTCGTCTATCTTTCAAAGTGGGAGTATACTGTGCTGCAGTCCGTTCTGCTGTGTTACATTATCTGTGAGACATGGCTATTAAAATTACAAGATGTAAAGAAGTTACAGGGTTTTGATCACAAGTGTTTTGGTAACATTGCTAGCGTTTACTGGAATAACCATGTGAGTAGTTTTGAAGTCAGGCGAAGGATACCAGGAAAGTCAGTCAATGAAGCTGTCAACCCTCATCGGCTAGGGTAGCTCGCATATATTATGCCTATCTGCCTACTTTCACGTGCAGGGCTGGGAGAAGTTGGATTCGATTGAAAGAGGGTTTCATAGTGGCCAGATCAAGACGTGACACTAGTCAGTGAAGTTCCTGATTGTTAGACTAGAGTCCCATACATGATATGAACCAGTGGCTGAAGTCTCTTGGTGACAAGCTGACATAAGATAAAAACGACATAGATATACTCACTCCCTGATGTCTTTCAAAGTCTGAATGTTTTGACTAAGTCCCCCTCCCAAAATACACCTTTGTTTTCTTTAATATCAGTTTTTATTATTCAAATGTCAAAATACAGAAAACCAGCAGGTTGATACTATCAAAAACTATCTACTTTATAGAAAATGAACTGGAAAAATAACTATCACTGGGATCTATACGCAAATTAGTTCACTTGACAATGAAATACAAGATGAGTTGCATCATACACTGCGTCACCTTACAAAAGCTATCCAATTCTCAGTCTATTACATCGCGAAACAATGTATGGAAATATCAGACGTCTGAGGTCATTCAGAAAGAAGTTGATACCTATGGGGTACTTACTTATCAGCTACACGTATCTAAATCCGTCGAAAAATTAAAGTTTCCTTCAAGATCAAAATGTGGTGACTAATGTAACTATTCAATTATAACCTTTGTCTAATGGAAGTGTGTCGGTTAAAATATCCAATGTGGTTAAAAAGCAAAGTTTTACAGTATTTCAACATCATATTGTTTAGGTGAGCAGCTGAATTATACACTTGACCTTGACGAATACTTCGGAGATGAATTCTGTGTGTTATTTGTTTTGTTTTGACTGAGTCGTTGAACAAGACGATCTGTACGTTGATTGATCAATCGAGGGTAACCAACACTATATTATTTAGTCGTAGATCAAATTCTATGGAGGATTTAGCAATGTGGCCAACGGACTAAGTAGCTCAGCATAACGATGTACTTTAACAGATGTTAGTTGGATGGAGGCACTCGTCAACAAGTTGTATCTGCAACGTCTACAGTACTACAGTCGGTAACGTAAATTGCAGCTCAAATAATTCAGTGGTAACACGCATTTCAACCTCAGACGGGACATGATTTCCATCGAAGTTCGAGATACAACATACACACAAGCGCCAGTAATCCTGCTAGTTCCCTGTATTCCACAAACAGGACAGTTTGTGTTGTATGTCCATAATTTTTTATAAGTTGATGACTGTTGCTCATAACTAACCAAGCTGAAAGTGAGTTGAACTCATAACTCTATGCTTTCAAACTCAAATTACCTATCTCCATTCAACCAATGCTTCGATTATGTGTAAAGGATAAACTAGATGCTTTGGTCACCTCTATGTATATTTTTTAAAATCCATTTGCCGCTGAGGAGTAAGGTATATTGACTGAACTTAGAGTTTACTTTCCAAATACATTTCTGAACATATATACCAGCCTAGTTTCACAAAGGAGAAAGGAGGATAATTTACAGCTGTATTTTAGAATACTTGATCGATTATGACCACCAGGGGTAAATGCAGAAAATAACTTCAGTGTCATCTATAGAGTTCTTGTAAATCTCTTGAAAGGTTTACGCCTAAAACTTCTTCAAACTCCAGAAGATAATAACAGTTAACATGTTGAAGACTGAACTCTGTGTTCAAAAGAAATTGCAATCGACATAATCTATAAGAACATTCTTTTGATTTATAATCAAATTTGAACTTCGTTCAAAATATTCCATTAAAGTCTCTTGGTCTAAAATCCTTCAACAGTCGATGAGAATAATCGGCTCCCAGGTTCCACTTACGTTATTTAAGTTTATAAGAGAAGAGATTGTATCTTTGACTTCATCTTTATAGAAAAAATTGATGTCACTCCCGCCATCCATCCAAATCAACATGGGATCAGACATTACTAACTGCATAACGTTGTAAGTTGTCACAGCTGATATTAGTACACCAAGTAAAAAGGCAATGAAATGGAAGATAAAGAAAAGAAACTTGAATCAGAAATATAAAGTACGAAAAGAAGGAGAGGAAGAATGACAAAATGGCAAGATTCGGTATACTGTCGTTAAGATGAGGATAATGTGTGTACACACCTGCCCCCAACTGACATCGGTTCTGAGCCATATCAGATAGAGTCAGTCTCCAACCACTGGTTCCTCTCGTCCTTCGGACCCCAACCACCTAGTCTGCATCGCCCCACATGGTCCAAATCAGCAGTCAAACAGTCCATGTTTTAGTCTGTCCATCTCGAGCCTTTTTTTCCTATCTCAACCTACTACGGCGAACATTCTTTGACGGGGTAGACAGCGACTAGGCATACGTAACACGTGTCCCAACAATCTCAGTCGATAACGGTTCACAACCGTGCCAACTGACTTAGCTTTTCTTCCTAGAACTCTACACCTGACTTCTGCGTTACTCACATTGTGACACCACGTAATACGACCTATACTATGAAGGCAACGGTGGTCAAACACCTGAAACCTTCTGATGTCTTCCACCTTCAATGGATATGTTTCACAGCCATACACTAGATTGGCGTTACTAAAATCATACAATTCAAGTTAATGAATATTTTATGATGGACCTTATTTTTTATGTGTCTATCATGCGATTAAATTGTCTTTTTTAATCTACTTCTCTGAAGGTAAACACTATGGAGCCTATTCGTGTGATGGATGTAAAGGATTTTTTCGTCGTTCAGTACGTCGTAAACACTCATACACTTGTCGACATAAACGATCGTGTATTGTAACAAAAGATAAACGGAATCAATGTCGTTTTTGTCGATTTCGTAAGTGTTTTCGTGTAGGCATGAAAGAATCAGGTGAGTCCATGTTTAAAAATATAATGTTTATATTTTAATACTATAATTTGTTAATCTCTATAGTAGATTGGATACAATCGATCGACTGATACTGCCAAATAGAAGGCTGTGTGGATCACCCGGTAATTTACTACCACTACTACTACTACTACTACTACTACTACTACTACTACTACTACTACTACTACTACTACTACTACTACTACTACTAATGTACCCCTAATTAAAACCCAATGACATTCTTTGTGAACATGTATCTTCCAGTAATGTTTCTTTCCCTATCTTCTCAACGTCTTTCAAAGAACTGCTATTATTGTTTACTGATTAAGTCCACTTTACATTTGAAGGGGAATATTTTCGACAAATACATGATGTGGACATGGAAAGTCCCCCAGAGAACATTGCTATCTGATATTAACATGTTACACATTGATGGCTTGACCGGCAATCTCATCAATAAAGTTACTCTCTATAAGAGATATGCTGACTATATAATCTTGATATATGACAACCATGAGGATGCGACATGTTAGTTAGAAAGAGTTAACATGGTACAAAACAACATAAGACCGTCTACCTTCCTTCGATACACTCCTAAGTCGAAGAAATAGTAGTTCAATGAAACGATCGATAGCTGCTACCTTGACGTGGTGGTCGGGCTTGCATATCACAATGACCCAACGAGCTATGCTGGTGGAACGCTTGTTCCCTCGAGGTCCTACCATACCAGAAAGGTCTGTTGGGTAGTGGTTAGACGAAAAGCAGTTACCGTTATAGTGTAAATTGCTACACTATGATGGGGGTCTGAGGGCGAAGTCGTACTGCTGCTAGCTGGATGGGGTGTGACAGCAGTAAGGTGTTTCCCTTGGATGACCAGCAGTGCCAAGCTGATGCTGCCTTCTCAGTGGAAGGGGGGGTTAGAAAAGGTCGGCCCCAAAAATAACACACTCCACCACGCCCCACGGTCTGCCGGGCCGGCGGTGTTGGTTCACTTGTCGTTTCCTTTCGACCATCCGGCCCCAAAAATACAAAAATTCAAAATAATCATACTCAAAAGGCTGGGTGTGACAGGCCTCAAGCAGATGTCCGATGGGCTCTGCGGTCACACAAATCTCTTTCAGGTACCTTAAGAAGAAATAGCCTTCCACGGTGTGGGCAGCCGGGAAGTGTCAACCGCCCTCACAACTCTGTCAGCACCCAAGTTTCTTCTGACTGCTATCCTCCTCCTCCATCATTACCTTCTAATCTTCCTTCACGTCTCTTAATTAATGATGCTGCATCATCTTCAATTTCTCCTACCTCTGCAGCCTTCGACAACGATCTGAGTCCACAGAACAGCATCCCTGGTCTCCTTAAACCACGCTCCAAATTACATATTGGAGCCTTCAATGTCCGCACCCTCCGTCAAATTGGCCAACAGGCTTCGTTGGCAAAGACTCTAGCAACTCGAGGCATGGATGTGTGCTGTGTTTGTGAGACACGCATACAGGACCCAAGTGTGGTTATTCACCTGACCTCTCCTGACCAATCTGGTGAATCTGCAAAATTCACCCTTCGAGTTTCTGGAGATTCGATAGCTAGCTCTCGTGGTCTTGCAGGTGTAGGTATAGCATTAAGCACCAGGGCAGAAAACTCACTACTAGACTGGATCCCAGTTGATAGTCGCCTCTGCGCTATGAGGCTGAACGGCACAGTGAGAACTAAAAGGAATAGTGAGACTCGCCGTTGTCTCTTTGTAATCTCTGCTTACGCACCCACTGACTGTAGTTCGGATGAAGTGAAGGACGAGTTCTACCATAAACTGTCTAACCTCCTCTCGAAAGCCAAACGTTCGGACGTAGTGGTTGTTGCAGGTGACCTCAACGCACAGGTGGGTAGACTGAGTGAGGCAGAAAGGCACTTAGGTGGCACTTTCGGAATCCCAGCTGAACGTACAGATAACGGTGATCGCCTATTACAACTATGCTCAGATAACCGCCTATTTTTAGCCAGCACAAATTTCAGACATAAAGAAAGGCACTGTCTGACCTGGCGTCCACCGAGCTCGACTCAGCGATGGACACAGATAGACCACATTGCTATTAGTCATCGCTGGAGAGGATCGGTGGAAGACTGCCGCTCCTTCTGGAGTACGTGTTTGGACAGCGATCATGCGTTGGTCCGAGCACGTATATGCCTGCGTCTCAATGGACGTAGAAAAAATTTGGCAACAAAACCACTACGAGTTCTGCTGGACAACGAAAACACCAAAGCCGTGTTCAGTGAGAAGTTGGCTAGGCAGTTATCGGAACAAAAGACTGTCACTCATCCAGAAGAAGCTTGGTGCCATCTTCAGTCTACTGTAAAAGCAGCACTGGAGACTGTAGCCGACTCCAAGATAATGGCTAAAAAGAGCCAGTGGATATCAGCAGCTTCTTCCAAACTAATGGATGCACGTGAATGCATCCCTGCAGGCTCTGAGTACAATGAAGAGCGAGCGCAACTTAAAAATAACTGACGAAAAGTCTGCGCAACGATCGTGAACAGTGGTGGGCAGCAAAGGCTAAAGAGATGGAAAAGGCAGCGGCGATCGGTAACAGTAGACAGTTATTTAGACTTATTAAGGAGACTGGGGGGAAATGGTCAACAACAGTTAGTGAGGTTATAGCGGAGAAGGACGGATCTGCGATTCACTCGCAGGGAAGGCGACTGGGACGATGGGCAGAACACTTTGAGGAACAGTTTAACTGGCCTCCAGCCACCATTGCGCTGCCCGCTATCCAGTCGGACCCTGAATGGGACATAGAGACAGGTCCCCCAACACTAGAAGAAGTTGAGAAAGCGGTAGGTAGCCTGAAACGGGGAAGGGCAGCAGGACCAGACGGACTACCTGCTGAGGTATACAAGAATGGTGGTAGAGTTCTCTTAGTCAGGCTAACGGAAGTGTTAGCCAGTATATGGGAATCAAATACGATCCCCTCCGACTGGTCTAAGTCACTCATCATCCCAGTCTTCAAGAAAGGCGAGAAGTCCTCTTGTGATAACCACAGAGGAATCAGCCTGACAAACATAGTGTCTAAGATCCTAAGTTCTATAATTCTCCGACGCCTGAGTGGAGCTCGGGAACAGCAAGCCCGAGAAAACCAGGCAGGCTTTAGACCTGGCCGTGGATGTATCGACCAAATATTCACACTGCGCCAGGTCCTGGAACATAGGCATGCTTACAGACGCCCGACAATAGCTGTATTTCTCGACCTGAAGGCGGCATTTGACTCCGTTGATCGAGAAGTCTTATGGCAGTGTCTGTCACTGAAAGGCGTGCCTAGTAAGTACATCACCTTATTGAAAGCTCTCTACTCGAACACTTGTGGGCATGTTAGAGCCTATGGTGAGTTGTCCAGGGAGCTATACTCATCAAGTGGTGTCCGTCAAGGATGCCCACTATCCCCATTCTTATTTAATTTTATCATAGATATTCTTATGGAGGTTTCCCTCTCGTCACCTAATTACAAAGACGTTGACCGGATCACAGGTGAATTTTCCTTAGATCTAGAATATGCAGATGACATAGTCCTGTTAGGTGAAGACGCTGACAAGATGCAGAGTCTTCTGAACACTTTGAGTGGGAATTTGAGAATGTTTGGGATGCGATTTTCACCACCCAAATGCAAATTTTTGCTCCAGGACTGGTCTTCAGCGGTACCGCGGTTAACAATAGAGAGTGAAGTGGTTGAGTGTGTTGACCACTTCACTTACCTGGGAAGTAGGATCAACCCGGTGGGTTAGTTGCCGATGAGATTTCTGCACGGATACAAAAGGCTCGATTGGCTTTTGCCAATTTGCGCCACCTATGGCGCCGCCGTGATATTCGTTTGTCTATTAAGGGTCGCGTGTACTGCACAGCAGTCCGCTCTGTTCTACTGTATGGCTGTGAAACATGGCCATTGAAAGTGGAAGATACAAAGGTTACAGGTGTTTGACCACCGTTGCCTTCGTAGTATAGGACGTATTCCGTGGTGTCACCATGTGAGTAATGCAGAAGTTAGGTGTAGAGTTTTAGGGAGAAGAGGTAAGTCAGTCGACGAGGTTGTGAACCTTCATCGACTGAGATGGTTGGGACACGTACTACGTATGCCTAGTCACCGATTGCCTCGTCACACAATGTTGGCTGAGGTGGGTTCAGGCTGGAAAAAGGCCCGAGGTGGCCAGACTAAAACATGGCACCAATGTATGAAGTCTCTGACTGTTGGTTTAAGCCATGTAGGACGATGCAGACTAGGTGGTTGGGGTCCACGGGACAAGAGGAACCAGTGGTTGGAGACCCTAGGTGATATGGCTCAGAACCGAAGTCAGTGGCGCAGATGTATACACACATTATCCTCATCTTAACAACGCTATACCGAATCTCACTATTTTGTCACTCCTCTTTCCTTTCTTCTCGTACTTTATATTTCTTTTGACTGCATTCACTTATCTTCATCCTTCACCTCACTACCTTTTTACTTGATGTGCTGATATGAGGTGTGGCAACTCGGACCGTTACGCAGTAATGCCTGGTCCTATGTTGATAATGATGATGATGATGATGTGGACAGGTCAGTACTTAAGTTTCCATAGCTTTCGTCCAACCCAATACAACGGAGGTTTAGTATTACGCCTATACAAAATGACCCAGTATTGGAAGATTCAATGGATGATGACATCAAAATACTAACTGAAACATTAGTGGAAAATGGATATTGATTGAAGTTAGTGAGCCGTTGTAAAAATCAGCCAACATTGAAATCTAATCTGTATTATATTTCGAAGAAATGGGTTTATATCATGTTACCACATAGAGAGGAGAATCAAATAGCGTAATATTAAAAGGAAGGTTAAGGTGTGTCGTTAGCAAACCATACTATGCAACTAGGCTTATCATAGTTGAGAAGACCAAATATCTGCTACAATATAGACTTCAACACTGCATAAACGATTGGTTATGCTGAGTGCAGTAGATCTTCACACTGATTCCAGATTAAGGAAAGGTGACCTGTCTGGCTTTTCCGATGCTGACTGGCTTTGAAATCCTCGTCTGTGCCACCGCCATCTCTAGTTGTAACGATGCTGCTTTGCCTAAGTAGGTGAAAGATACTACTTCCTTTAGGTTTCCCCTATTAATGGTGATTGGTACCTCTTGTTGCTAATGCTGTTGTTGGTTGGGTATCTTCATCACTTCTGTCTTCTCTACATTCACATCCAACTACGCCCAACTCATCGTTTTCCGTTTGAATTCCACTCGAACACCTAGCCTGGACTGGCCTGGTGCGTGATGTCCCCAATACGTCTTCTCAGTGTATGCCCAATCCAATACAGACCAATTCATCTCCACTTTCTAACTTTACATATTTGTCTGGTTATAGGTTGTTCGTTGGTTGGTTGGTTGGTTGGTTGCCAGGTCACAGTCAGTTCCTTGTTACTTATTCTTATTATTCTCGGCATGTGATGTGATCTTGAGTATCGAGTGAGCATATTGTGGTAGCTGTTGATGAATGTCTGTAGTTTGTTGGTGGTGCTTTTCGTGACTCGCCAAGTTTTGTTAGCTATTGGATTTGTTGTACAGGGTAGGATTTCTAGCCTTACGCCCAACCTTCCCTCTTTATCAGGGCTTAGGACCGGCTAGTAACTAATGAACTAGTTAATCAAACGAGGTTTGTTCTCTGATAAGATCACTTTTATTATATTTTATTTCTTTGTACCTTGGGTTCCTAGTGCAACACAGGGATTCAGAAGCACGTCGCCATTTCACTGTCTCCTCTCCAGTCTTCTTTCTTTACCTGGCTCCACGACCGACCATAATCTTTCATTTCTTACACACACCATCTCCTCTATGTTACGCTCAGATGTAGAAATCGTCGTTTCCAATTTTGATTCCACTCGATGACCCAGCCTTTTCGACAGGCGCCAAGTCTCTCAACCATCTGAAAAAGCACTGAATTGAACTTGATTGACATTAGTGTTTAAAATCTGGATGTTGTTCATGCTTTATGTTGAGTACAGTGCAGTTGATCTCCACACTGATGTCTTTAGCATTACGCAGCTTCCAGGAGATCAAGGAGATCAACTCACCCACTCACTTCAAAGTGAACATATTCACAATAATGTTATGCAACAGACTTGTCTGGTACTTCATCTAACAGTGAATATACGTCCTTGACAATGCTGCATACTTTAACATTAAAAGTATCGATAAGTCATTGCCATTGGTCCTCAGTTTTTTTCAAATGTTTATTCCTTTTCACCACAATGTCTAATTCTGATGGCATAAATCTATATTGCTGTGAATAATAACACTTGAATGGATATTCACTTCGGATTACATGATTCTGTGGAAACTTACCGTTTCTCGATGTCGTCAGTGTGGGTTTTTCTGGTACTCGAAGCTATAAACACAAGAATTTATGGTAAAATAGACGTTTATATAGCTTAACAGGGCATCGCGAAGACGAATCAAACAAGTCGATTGCTTATAACGGAAATTTAGAATTTCACGCGACCATGGTACTACTAATGGTGCAAAAAGAAAGTATGACTGAAAATGATCCAAACGTTAACACTCTGTATATGCTGAAAATTGGTATTTTCTTGTTCATTTCATGACTTATGTAATCTTCTGATGTTTTTTTAATCTAATTTAATGACCTCCTTTGTGCACCTTTCAGGTCCAGTAAAATCTTGTACATTTTCCAACATATATCAATGTGATGATGCCTGTAAACTGGCTTCTCTCATGTTAAATTACTAATATGAGAATAAAGTATTTATAATTATTATCATTACGATTATTATGTTTCTACGTTTTGCTCGTTATTGTTTTTTCAAAATATTTTTCTGCAGTACTATGCTGTTCGCATTGTGCTGATCATAACTGAGATAATTATGACTATGACTATTATTATTATTGTATGGATATCTACTCTTTGGATGCTTCATTTACTTATGACTTTAACGGCCACCGTAGTAACAATCGAAATAACCAATTAGGCTTTTCTATTTTGGCTGGAATGTCACATTTTTCATAAAATAGAGAAACGTAACGGATTCACTGAACTGTTGGTAGGATAGTTTTTAAAGCTATCCTCATTTCGTTGTTACCACAGCCAAAATACTGTACTATAATTGATTTAATGTTTTATATATAAGAAAATTTATATATATATTAGAGTAAAGCTTGATGAGAGCTAATTGAAAACATTACCATCGCCTTATATTTTCTACCGTAACTGCTTGAATATCATTCAATTGAGACTATTTCTGACCTTGGCATTTATTTGTAAGCAACAATTGAAACGTTTCAGGAACAATTGATCTTTCTATAGTTTTGCCAAGGTTGTGATATGATGTTACTGGGGAACTCTTCAGCAGCGGAAATGTTGAACTCAACAAACTATTAGTCAGTCATTAGATTCATAGCGTATGATTGATATTTTAAAACTCTTATCAGTTTATGATGTAACATGACCATCGATGAATCATAACGTGCTACATTTAACTTATTGTCCTATGTACGTTATTGACTGTAGCACTGAGTGACGTGGGTTGAGATCTCAGGTGGAATATGAATTCCATCGAGGTTGCGGATACTACGCGCTGACTAGTGATAAGCGTCCTAGCGATACTGATAGATGATTATTGGAATTCGATAGTTCCGTAAAACTAAACAACATGAAGCTGATTTCCTTCCAATAACCAATCAGTGTATCCCTATCCACCTTCCGTAATCAATATATCTATGAATACCAGTTGTCTGTTACTTTATTCACCTTTCGTGAATTCCATTCCTCTGAAATCAATGCTGATTTCAATTTCCCGAAGGATTTATGTGATGTGATGTGATTAATTGGTCATTTTGTCCTAACATTTCTTAAGTGACATTATTGCTTGTATTATACCGTCTTTGACTTGACCCAATTAATCGGCTTCTGAGTGGATGTCTTGATATTGCCCGTGTTTCTAATTCTATATAGTGATGATGGATAGTGAAGAACTCTGTGAAGTTTCAAGCCTTCGGTAACAAATCAGAATCGTGATGGGAATAATATCAGTCACTGGTAGGCAGGTACAGCCAGCTGACCAGTGAGCCCCAAATAAGACGAAATGTACATCTTGAATACCACCACTAGCCACTGTCTATCATCCTTATATTAGTCATTTTTCCCTTGGGTTCCCAGTGGAACGAAGAGCTTCAGTAGCACGCCTCCATTCCACTCTCTTATATACAGTCTTCTGAACCTCAATCCACAACTGCCAACAAGCTTTCATTTCTTCTTCACATTATCTCCCATATATCTCCCTCATCTCAGACACCCAACTCGTCGTTTTCCGTTCGACTTCTACTCGAGCACCTAGCCTGGACTGGCCTGGTGCGTGATGTCCCTAATCGTCTTCTCAGTGTATGCCCAATCCAATTCATCTCCACTTTATAACTCTACATATTTGTTGGTGATAGGTTGTAGGTCGGTTGGTTGTTTGGTTGGTTGGTTGGTTGCCAGGTCACAGTCAGTTCCTTGTCACTTATTCTTATTATTCTCGGCATGTGATGTGATCTTGAGTATCGAGTGAGCATATGTGGTAGCTGTTGATGAATGTCTGTAGTTTGTTGGTGGTGCTTTCCGTGACATGACAAGTCTCTCAATCATACAGCAGCACCGATTTGACTGGCATTTGTGTTGCAAATCCCGATGTTGTTCACACTTTGTGCTGAGTGCATTAGATATGCACAGTGATTTCATATCAATGAAGAGTGGCCTATCTTGCTGTCTTTAAGATGGCAGTTTTCACATCCTCGTATGTGCCTGTGTTGCGTGTAGTTGAAACGATGCTGCCTATCCATCATTACTGTATATAAATTCTTAATTGGACTTGATTAGATTTTCTGGTCTGTATAAGTAGAATTATGGAATCAATTTCAGCTTACATTTGCATATATACAGATTTTTACTGAAATAAATCAAAAATCACACTGTATTCATTGTAATCATTAAATTAGTCTATAGCTTCATCTTTACTCTTGCCTTCAGTTTTACAGTCAATAGAATCCATCATAACATCAGAAAGTGTATTAAGTGAAAATCCAGGGTGAAAGAATAAGTTAGTTTGAGTATTTTCATCCTGAGCTAGAAAAAAACAAACATTTATCATCAGTTTTAGCGATTTTCTACAATATTATTAATCATATTATCATGGGCATAATATTTAATATTTAAGATAATAAAGATAAGAGATAAATCATTCAAAGTTCAGTTAACGTACTCATATTGAACATTTAATTACTCTCAAGGTCACCACAAGGTTGAAATTTACAGCCAAGTTTAATTCTAACCAAATTAAATTACTACCTATCTATATATTATTAAAAAACATTGAATCATTATTCTTATAGTCAAATGAATTAATATATTAGGCTTATTAAAAACTTTTCGTGATTTTTTTTCTTTTCTAATGTTTAGCTGTACAAAAAGAACGTGATAAAATTAGTAATCGTCACTCAACTTTTGAGACAAATTCATGTGTACAATCGGGTTTAGATTTACAGAAATTGATACAAGCTGAAACAATAGCTAATTGTGTACGTCAAATTGTTTTACTGGTTCATTGTTATGCCTTTTTTACTGATTGTTTTAATATTATAAAAGTGTTTTTATGTACTGTCGTGTGAAATCTTGTCTGTATAAGTTTTCAACTAGTTGAAAACTTCTGAATACATCTAAGTCACTGTGATCGATCTTCAGGTATTTTGCTGAGTCCGTTTGTGCCTATCGTTTCGGCAACCCCAACCAGCTAGTGGCTCATATCAACAGTTGGAGACATCATTGACTCGTGCCACTTCTTCATCTGGTCACCTAGAATGCTAGGATGGCGACAGATATTTAAGCCACCTCAGTTGATGAAGGTTCATAATCTCATACATCGACTTGTTTATCTTGCCTAGTACCCTTCAACTGACTTCAACATTGCTCAGATAGTGATTGCAGCAAACGCGAACATTTTTATGAAGACATCTATGATCAGAACCGTGTAATCGCTTTATGTATACTATTTCCAGCGGTTGTATCTCACAACTTTGCAACAGGGCAGAACGAACTGCGGCACAGTTTACTCGCCGTTTAACTGATAATTGCATATCTTGTCAGCCACGCATGTGTCGAAAGTAGGCAGATGTCAAGCCGGCCTTTCGTATCCGAGGTGATATTTTGTCAGAGAGCAGTTCGTTCGAGCTGACGTAACTCCCCAAGTGAATGGAATGGTCGATACACATCACTGAACTGGAAGTACTTGCAACAAACCAGTCCTAGAGTGCCATCTAACTGTTGACAGGTGAGAAACGCATACCAAACATAATAGGATTCCTGTTGAAGGTGTTCAGGAGACATTTGATTTCCTCAGCATCTTTATCTAGGAAGACAATATCATCTGTATTCCCTAAGTCAACTAAATGATCTCCAAGGAGTAGATCGATCTATGTGAAGTTGGATGTACCTAAGTTTTATGCATTACTGCATCTATGACAAAGTTAAGTGAGAATGGTAACAATTGACATTCTTTCAGGAAAATGTTTTTCGAAGTGATTGATGACTAAATCTGTCAAGAATAAACCTGTGTTAAACCAGGATTATTTCACCGACCAAGTCATCAGACAAACTCTCGATCAGGTTTCAACCTCATTTTTTCATGAATATAAAGGATAACATTCACTTCAATAGGAAAAAATCGATGAGCAAGGAAAATTATGATGAAAAGATTAACGGACTGGGTATTCAACAGCAATACAAGCAAAACTAAATTATTTAACCGATAATTTTTTTCACTGTTTAACCTAGATGGAACCATCTACTTACGAAGAATGACTGAGAATAACTTGTCGGTTAGTGTTTCCTAACAGTGCTGTCTAGACTAATGTCTAAAGTACTGGGCAGAAGAAGTGAACATCGCAACTATGAGTATCGATCATCATACAAACTACTCATAATCAAAACCAACCTATTACACATAGAAACTATTCACATAGTAAAATACTTAATCTAAGAGGAATGCTACAATATACTGACTAGAATATATTTATGAGATAACCGTAGTTTGGCAGACTAGTATTTCTACTGGCTGATGATTGAAGGTGAGATGAAAATCTGAACAGCCAACAGATTTGAACCAGCGACCATCGAGAATATATTTGATAGCGAGGTTTTGAACAACACTATTGATGGTATGATGTGTTATCTAACGTTCTGTCTGGATATCTGTTGCCCTAGTGAAAAGTTTTTTTCTACGCTTCGATTGTATATTTTCTCCACAGCTTAAGAAACTAAGAAAAGACAAAGGCAAAAGGTGATAACACTGGTGCTCATCGACTGAACATTTTAATTAGGTTGGAAATTAAACGTCTGAATTTATCATAAAACCAGAAAGTTTTGTGATGCAAAAGTTCTTCCAGTATGTGAACAATTTTTAGAGACTTCACTGCATAATTTACCATCTTCAGTTGGTAACAATTTTATTAAATAGCCTGATGACCTAACACTTTACATATTTATCTCCTCTTCAACAGACTGTTCCAAACTGAATGATTTCCTATCTTCTGTAAGACGATGGTCCTCTGTGAATGTTTTATGCATAATTCTTCAAAATGTAAGACTATAAACCTTAGTTCCAGATGTGAACATAATCTGTGTAAACTGCTTAGTTCTGGCGACTCCGGTTCTATTGATATAGTATCGAGCGTGCCTGAAAGGAATGGATGTAATAGGTATTTGTTGAGCTGGCGGAAAAAACCATAGACAACTACCAGTAACGAATAAACATTCTGCCCGGAGAATCCAAAGAGACAATGTGGGTGTGTATTAAGAGCAAATTGAACTAGAAGCAGAAGAGGAAATGAAGTATATTGTGCAAATGACTGTCTTAATGAAAGGCGTACAATAATAAACATTTCTTCCTTCATCTCTATCTGGTCATTTTTACAATGGGTCTCCCTGCCTCTAGACGTTATGAAGATTACACAGCCTGCAGTGTTCGAAGCTGAAGATATAAAGGTATTCCTCAAGGATTCTGAGTTGGTCAAGGAGCTAGTGAGTCTCCGGGACCAACAGTATAGGTCATAGTGATTGACATGTTGCTGAAGGGGTCAAGCGAAAGTAGCACATGATGACATGGGACGTGAAGATCGGAAGGAGATCTGACAGAGTATGGTTGAACGTCTAGTGGCGGAGTTTGACAGCCCAGTAAACCAGGCAGCTGGTGATGCAGCACTTCCGAAACACGACACTTGCAATAGACGATGATCAGCTCGTCTTAGCTTCGAAGTTGACTAAACTTCTTCGACGAGCACTTCCCACTTTGGATGACGACACTCAGGCACAGTTGCTGGCTGAACACTTCACCGAAAGTGTCTCGGATGCCATCATCCAGCACTTACGATTAGCCAACCTACCCCGACCCACAGATAGTAGTGAGATGGTTGAGGTGATCAGACAGTTAATGGGTACAGCAGAAGCTGCAGTGGAGTCACCAGAGATAAATAATTTGGAAACAAATCCACAACCTTTAAGACGAGGTGACTGCACTTTAAATGAATGAATGATGTTGGCAGACAGAGTAGGTGGTTTGCATTGCATGTGGAGAGCTGGGAGACTGTCTAAGTAACTGTGTGGAGAGGCGAAAAGGAAGACGTTTTGAACGATATGATATGAGTTGCAGTGTTGTGACTTGACTAGATGTTGTAGGAGTCATAGGAAGAGGTGCTGTGTATGTTTGAATAGGAATAAATGATCATGAGATCGTGTGCCTAATAGGTGTTGGAGCGTGAATCTCACTGATGGATAAGAGTCAGTCCCGGAAGATAAGACCCTGTGCGCTGACGGTCCACTTGTTTGAATGACATTTATTGGAAGTGGCAAGCTTATCAGATTGTGTCGTCGAGATTGGAAGTCGGAAACTTAGATTTTTATTGATTGTGACCACGCGTCTACAATGCACAATCCTAGGTGCTGATTTTTGGAGAGAAGTTGGTGCATTTAACACGAGAACGGGAATAGTGGCGACAAGGTACTGGACGTTCACCATACAGAAAACCAGCGTGGTAGCAGAGAATAATGCATCAAAAGCACCACATCCAAAAGCGTGAAGCATCATGAATGTGTTTAAGAAATGCAACTGATTTTTCACGGGATATGGAGACTCCTATGAATTCTGCGACAAAGCTCAGCATGAAATCGCGGTGAAAAGTTCAGCAGTGAAAAGTTTTATAACGCGGCGAATACCATGTCACTTAGAAGAAGTTGGGCACCAGGTTCATGAACTGCTAAATGGAGGCATTGTTGAAGAAGCCGATAACTCATGCAGTTCACCGGTGCTTTTAGTAAGAAAGTCTAATGGGAAATATATTGATTATGTGTTGATTTCCGAAAGTTAAATACCATAACACAACTGAAACTCAGAGAAATGCAAGAGACGATGTGGGTGTATTCAGTGCAAATGATGACTACTATACAAGATATCAATGATAAACATTCCTTCCTTCGTCTCCATCTTATCGTTTTCTACAATAGTTATGAATTAAAGAATGTTACAAGAGTGATTTATCTGGATGTATGTTGTTCTTTGGACATTCCCTGATCCTCCCATATCTTACTAATTTCTGAAAGAATTCTCTGCCTAACTTTCTATATTGCGAAGCTGAGAGTATCTGGTATAACTCAACCTCTCCTCTTATGTTGTATAAACTCCTGCATCTTGTCTGTTATCCTCGATTGCTCCCCTTTATTCTTTCCTGGGTTGATGATAAAAGACTATGCTGTGTTATCCGTAGAAGTTTGAAGATTGTCAGCAGAACTAGTGGTGTACCTGTATATCTTCCAACTAAAACTGTCGTGAACAAATATATTAACTCAAGTAAACATCTTGCAGGAGCTATTCTGTCAGATGAGCAGTATCTTCTTCACGCAAACCTCTCTGAGTGTCGGTCATCTGGAAAGACAAGCAGAAAGTAAATAAGACCTTATGCAAGCGATACAAAATATAAAAACTCTACAATACCGTACGTATTTAGCTCATCTATTGTGTGATGGTCTCTTTCACCTACCTAGGCAGTATGATTTCAACTACACGCAGCACAGGCACATACGAGGATGTGAAAACTGCCATCTTAAAGAAAGCAAGATAGGCCACTCTTCATTGATATGAAATCACTGTGCACATCTAATGCACTCAGCACAAAGTGTGAACAACATCGGGATTTGCAACACCAATGCCAATCAAATCAGTGCTGCTGCATGATTGAGAGACTTGTTGTGTCACGAAAAGCACCACCAACAAACTACAGACATTCATCAACAGCTACCACATATGCTCACTCGATACTCAAGATCACACCACACGTCCAGAATAATAATAATAAGTGACAAGGAACTGACTGTGACCTGGCAACCAACCAACCAACCAACCAACGAACAACCTATCACCGAACAAATATGTAGAGTTAGAAAGTGGAGATGAATTGGTCTGTATTGGATTGGGCATACACTGAGAAGACGGATTAGGGACATCACAATACGGGATATTGGCGATCCCATGCAACTCCTTCTGTCTGTTTGTATATTGTATGTTGAAACCTAAATACTGTGGAAGTTAGGCATAGGTATACTCTTAGCATGATAGGATGAAGGAGTTGCCATGGGATCACCAATATTCCCCTATTGTGACTGACATACTTATGGATAGTTGAGAACGGATGGCTATAGGAAGATTTAGTCCGGCTCGAAAAATATGGTTTCGGTATGTAGATGACACATTTTCAGTGTTGTAATCGAAACACATACATAATTTCTTCACACATATAAATTTAATAGTCAACGCAATCCAATTCACCTATGAATTAGAAAAATAACGAAGGAGAATTAGCCATGTTGTATTTGAAACATTTAGTCCCTTTAATAAATGTCGATAAAGCTATTAGAAGACAAAGATTATCTGAAAAATGTGATATTAGATTACTGAATAAAACAGAAACAAGACGGGAGTTACACTTCAAATCGTCTTACTCTATGTTAGTTAAAGTTGATTTAGTAAAGTGTCTAAGTAGTTAAGCCGAAAAGCTCACTAGTAGAATAGAAGAGCTAAGACAAGAAACCAGATAGATTAAAGACGCCTTAATCATCAACAATTACTCTCCTAAATTAATTAGTAAGCTCCTTAAGAATCGTAAGAAAAATATCAATAACACAGTTATTAATCGTAGTAATAACACCAACAATAAATGTAATAATAGTGTTGATAACGATGATAATAATAGTAGCGACAATACTATGAAGAGAGAATTCAAAACCTCCACAGTAGTACCATACAAAGAAGGCACCTCAGAAACACTACATAGAGTTCTCAAAAAGGCTGACTGGGATTAGATTGGCATTTAAGCCTACAAACTCACTTCGAAATAAACTTTGTAGGTTAAAATATCCTATTCATCCAATTAGGTAGTAGTAAATTGGGAGGTCAAATACTTTGGTCAATCAAAGTAGTCGACCAAAATCAATTAGGCTATCCGAACACAAAAACCTAGCTAGGTCAAAAGTTAGGTGAGGAATTTAGAAAGAAACCCAGCCATAGCTATGCATGTGACTACACAGAACCATAGAATAGAATAAGATGAAAATCCTTTACATTAACATAACAGAATGGATGGAGAAGTTGATAACTGAATCTTTGTTTATCGAATCAACATCTAACATATGCAGCAGGAATGACTCAGCATCTGTTCCGGATATATGGAAAATTTTACTACCCGTCTCACAAATGAGTCAAGGAAATTAGGACTATATAAAGAATATCTCAAAGTTGTGTATAGTTATCTTGATATGACTATAGACAATAAATTGTGTATGAAATGTAATCCAGTAAACGGTACGGTTAGTCAGCATGACAAGAGGAACCAGTGGTTGGAGACTCTAGAATGATATGGCTCAGAACCAATGTCAGTGGCACAGATGTATACATACGTTATCCTCATCTTGACGGCGCTATATCGAATCTCACCATTTTGTCATTCCCCTTTTCTTTCTTCTCGTACTTTATATTTCTTTTGACTGCATTCTCTTCTCTTCATCCTTCACCTCATTACCTTTCTACTTGATGAAACGGTACTATTATAATGTGTGACACATCGATTAAATCAATAAAAATGGAATTACATTCTACCACAATGCACAAGTCTTACCGTTATACTTTAATAAAACCTTTTTATTTCACTTCCGTCATCAAAGGGTTGTTTTACTCGATCACTATGCGAATTGTTGGCGAGTCACTGACGCTTGATCATATTGACAATGGTTGCTCTCTGTCAGGAGTTCTCATCTCAATCGAAATCTAACTGAATTTGAGAGAGGGAGCATCATATTGATTACCATTTTGACTATCTGAAATAGATGTCGCATGGCAGACTCTCTATCATCATCCAAAAACAATAAGAAGACGTCAGTTATCTGAACCGTTTAGTATATTCGTGCAACATACTTGGAACTATCTGATCACATACACGCATACATACTTCTCATGGGTATTTATATGAAAATACCGTCGTTGCTTGGACCGCATTGATCGGTCTCTATTGGCATATGGGTTCGTGTGTGTATGCCTTGATATTGCCTGTCTTGTAACCATGTATAGTAGTGATGGATAATGGTTAGCAGTGGAATCCAGGATGCGCATTTCATCCCATTTGGGACTCATTGGTCAGCTGGATGCACCTGCCTCCCAATGAGTCATGTTGTTCCCACCGGGGTTCAGGCTTGGAAGTGGTGGCTTTGAAAGCCACGGTGTTATCCACCACACCACCGAGCCACTTATTGTGCGATGGGTATGATTTTATTGTTATTGCTTGTATTTAAACCCTCCTTGAAGCATCCCCACACGAGCCCATATGCTAACAGACACTCATCAATCCCGTCCAACCAAAGACGGTGTAACGCAAGCAATATCAACAAAACTATACTCGTCGCACAAGAAGTGGCTATCATGGCTCGATGCTATAATGGTTAAGGCTCCGGAGTTTGAAGCGATCGCTCCTGAGTCCGAATCCCGGTGGGAACAACATCACCCACTGGGAAGCAGGTACATCCAGCTGACCAGTGAGTCCCAAATAGGATGAAATACGCATCTTGGATTCCACTGCTAACCACGATCCATCGTTAATATTTGTATGAAAATTCATGAAGATAAGGGGTGAGAAAATGAAAAGAGGTCAATTAGGAAGGCTGAATAACAATGAAAATCAATATAGCCAAAATAATACTACATCGAACTTAGTTTCTGAGTTGAATTTATGAGGGGAGATTGAATATGAACACACAAGGGCTAACGTCTCAACACATTTAAGGATCTGACTTCAACACCTTTTGTGATGTGACTCAATGATATGTTTCTTGATCGAAGAACTTGGATGTCTGCTACCAAGATTTATAGATTCAGGTGATTTAGTTTACTTCTAAAGCCACTTTGAAATATGTTGCGAAGACGTTACTTGCATGGATCTATGAGTCTTTCCTATTTATGTATCACCATATGTACATTTTGAATTGATCGATGGAGTTGGATGTGACATTGTCGTTCACATGTTGTAAGGGTTTAGGAGAATATACGGACTTAGTGGTATTAACCCTGGCGGCATAGTTAGTTCTTCTAACAGCAGCGTTAAGTCTTTGATAAAGATATTTTTCTTTGGGACAAACTGAAGATCTACTTTTGCCACTCTGGTTATTTTGTACTGACTAATAATGTTTTTTAGAGGTAGTATTCATCATGGATTGGTTTCAGTTGGGGAACCATTGAAAATACCTAAATCGATAGAAATTGGAAACTGTAAACCATTGAGAATTGACTCAATGACTGAATAGTTAACGTGTTCACCGTGAAACCTGAAGGTCGTAAGTTCGATCCCTAGCCAGATAGTGGGTACATACTGCTGAAGAGTCCTATACTAGGACGTAACAGCTGTCCAATGCTTTCAGGTTTCGAACAGTTCCCTAATTGGTTTCAGTTCGTAATTTTAGTCTCAATAATAGTTTGTTTTTTTTTCTTAAATTCCACTATATCTTTCTCTTTCAGACACTTCATCAAAATTACTTAAATAAAACAACGAAATTGAATGTCTTTTCAACAGATCCTTTTAAACAATCAACAAGCGTAGAATTGAAAGATAATTTAGCTAATGTAAATGATATTTGTGATTCAATACGGACACAACTGATATTTCTTATTGAATGGGCTAAGAATTTACCCGCGTTCACATCATTATCAATTAATGATCAGGTATGTACAAATATATTTGATGATACTTTCTTATTATTTGTCCCTTAGGTTTCTAGTAGAACATAGGGATTCAGTATCATGCTTCTATTCCACTCTCTTCTCTGCAATCTTTTCAACCTGACTCCATGACTGCACACAAGCTCTCATTTCTTTCTCATACCACCTCCTCAATGTTACCCTCGCCTCGAATGCCCAACTCGCTGTTTCCCATCTGGGTTCCACTCGAGTACCTGGCCTAGCGCGTGATGTCCCCGAATGGTCTTTTCAATGCATATCCAATCCATCCCCACTTCCTTCCACTGCATATTTGTTGAGTGATAGGTTCTGGCTTCGTTAGTTCGTTACCAGCCACAGTTCCTTCTTGTTTATTCTTTCTGGCCATCTGAGCTTCACTAACAAGCCAGTGTAGGCAGTTGTTGATGCATATCTGTAGTTTGTTGGAAATGCCTTTCGTAACGCGCCAAGTCTCTGAGCCGTACAGAAGCACTGACATGACTGGATTGGTGTTGAAAATCCAAATGTTGTTCACGCTTTATGCTGAGTGTAGAAGGTCTCCACATTGGTTTACGATTAATAAAAGTCTGTCTTTCTGTCTTTCCTATCATGGTCTTGATATCCTCGTCTGTGCATGTTGCACCCATACTTGAAACTATCCTGCTCTGCCTAAGTAGGTGAAAGAGACTACTTCCTCTAGACTTCTCCCGTTCACGGTGATTGGTGCTTGTTGCTGATGCTGTTGTTGGTTGGGTATCTTAATCACCTCTGTCTTCCCTACCTTCACTTGAAGTCCCATCTTCACTGCCCTGCCCTGCCCAGCCCTACATCTTCTATCAACCTGATAGTTTTCGCCTGTACATCTTCGAGTTTGTGTCACATTAGACACAAGTCATCGGCGAAATCCAAATCTTCCAGGCTCCTTCCCCCAGTCCAGCGTATCCCTCCCTTCTCCCCCCCCCTCACGGTTTGCTGCATGACCCAGTCCACCACAATCACCAAGATCATGGGTGATAGTAGGTGGCATCAACACAGCCTTGTCTTACTCCTTCACATCTTCACTTCAAAGGCATCACTGAATCTTCCATTATGGATCACTTGGTATGTGGCCTTTTCATATAGTTGTTGAATGAGGTTGATAAGGATTTGTGGTACTAGAACTGTAGTGTTGAAGCAACTGTCTGTGAATTTACTTCTCGGTCGACACTGTCGATGTCCTTTTCACAGTCGATGAAGTTGAGGTAGAGAGTTGAGTTGAGTATCATTCTATACTCTGTTCTATGATGATACGTAGTGTTGCAATTTGATCCCCAACTGATTTGTACTTCCTGAATGCAGTCAGCCAGCCTGTTCCGGTTATAATTTTGAATGCAGTGCATCCTCTAATCTGTCGAGGATTATGTTGCATAATATTTTGGTTGGGATGGACAGGAGCATGATTCATGATGATACTTTGTGTTGGTTCAATTTAAAAACGTGAACTACAGAGACATCAGAATACGTTTCATGGTCTCTACTGTAAGTAGTTGAAGGCCATGAAATCACATCAAATTAATGTAAACATCAAATAACGGTTTTATTCTACTTCGATGTAACCAATCCAGTTCTGAAAGTATTCACCACGAACTGTAAATCAGTTGAAGAACCATTGAAAAACCTGAGAGTACTGGATACCTGTTTCGGCGTAAAATGAAACCCGTTTGCAGTGAGCAACTATGACCCCACCAGAGATCGAAACTACGAGATTAACTTTTAATGGTGCGGGAGTTACCAATGAGTCATCTTGAGTCACAATCTGATGATATGCAATGTGCTCACCACAGAGATTCAGTCCATGGCGACATCATGGGTACGCGCTGTCCAATGTTCCAGAGTCACAGAGTTTACGCGCAAGCTATGAGTAACATCTCCGAAAAGGATGTTGGGAAATATTCAGGAATCGATAATCTTCCTTTAATTGGAACTTGTTTTAATAACTCAAATGTCAATAAATCTTGGACGCGCTCTCTTACCTTTTAAAATAACTTTAACGTATTGTTTTTTCAAGTTGATAACAACATTTTAAGAAAACGTCATGGGAAATGGCACTAGAACCCTGAATGCACACCAGTACATCATATAAACTATAAGAAGAATAGTTATCTATGCTGTCCTATTCTTCCTCTTGTACACCAACGACTTCAAAAACTTGACGATAAACTAACAAAAACCGGTTGATACCACAATTATATTGATTAGTTACCCTCCAGTGGTAAATCACTGTTTGTAATCCAGTCTCACTGGAGGTCAGTGGTAACATCTTTGGCTACAGTACTAAGTGATGTAGATGGGATGTCTGTTTACTTGAGGTGGCAGATATACCTTACTGACGAGTGCCAACAAGCCTAACACCTTCGTCAAGAACGGTTTTCTACCGATTACGTCATTCTAATTAAGATCTATACTATAATATCTTCATTTGAGTAAATTTGTCATATGACGTAAGTAAGAAGTGAGCAGTGTAGAAAGAAAGTGGAGATTTCAAGGACTGAAAACAAAAGTCATGAAAGGAGAAGAGGTTTAACAATTTTCTTTTATGTTCAAAACTCCAGTTTCTTCAAATGAATAGCAGAATCGTTGAAAATGCAGATAATACAAATAAATATAGCCTTTGAAAAGTTCCTTTTCACTGGAAGACAACATGTTCATTTGAAGTATTTCTTATACATCAATTGTTACTTCTTTATACCTTCAGAGGACAGTGCTCCTCAACTCTTTTGAATAAAAGTCATATTAAACTACCTATATACCTGATTCTACAACATCGGTTAAACTGATATTCACATATAGAAGTGTTTATTATTATTATTATTAGTCCCTTGGGTTCCTAGTGGAACATAGGGCTTCACTAGCACGTCTCCAGTGACCTCTGTTCTCTGAGATCTTTTGAACCTGGTCCCACGACAGCCCACAAGCTCCCATTTCCTCCTCGCACAATCTCCTCCATGTCACCCTAGGATGTCCAACTCGTCGCTTACCATGGGGATTCCAATCGAAGGCCTGACGCGTGATGTCCTCAGTCGGCCTTCTCAGTGCATGCCCAATCCATCTCCACTTCCTAGTGCATATTTGTTGGGTGATAGGTTCTTGGTTGGTTCGTTCCCAGAGCTCCTTGTTGCTTATTCCTTCCATTCTGGCCATCTGATCTTCAGTAGCGAGCCAGCGTGGGCAGCTGTTGATGAATGTCTGTAGTTTATTGGAAATCCCTTTCGTAACACGCCAAGTCTCTCAACCATACAGAAGCACTGACTTGACGTTGGTGTTGAAAATCCGGATTTTGTTCCACATGCTGAGTGCAGTAGATCTCCACACTGGATTCACGCTAATGAAGGCCTGTCTTGCTTTTCCCATCCTGGCTGGCTTTGACGTACTCGTCTGTACCGCCACCTGTAGTTGAAACAGTGCTTCCTAGACAGGCGAAGGAGGTTACTTCCTTTAAGTTTCTCCCGTTGATGGTGATTGGAGTTTCTTGTTGTTGGTGCGGTATCTTCATCACTTCTGTCTTCTCTATATTCACCTGAAGTCCCGTCTTCGCTGCCCTGCCTCTTCTGTCAACTTGTTAGTTTTCGCCTGCAGATCCTCAAGTTTGTGTGACATTAAACATAAGTCATCGGCGAAATCCAAGTCTTCTAGGTTCTTTTCCGCAGTCCAGTGTATCCCCATCACTGAGCTTCCCATTGTGAATTACTTGGCATGTAGCATCTTCATATAGTTGTTGAATGAGGCTGATAAAGGTTTGCGGTACTCCGCAAACCTTAGAGAAGAAAATTTAGACGACAGGAGATTATTAATCTCAGCGTTGATGTAAATAATGTTCACCTTAAAGAGTCAGTGATAGAAATACCATATTTCTATATCTTTTCTAGTGTAAGGGATTTGATAGTAAAAAAACAGTTTTTCAAGCATGCCAGGCAACATATATAGTATCAGTAAATAAGCTGTGTCATCAAAATTAAAAACTGATGAGTAGTCAATATTCATCAAAATATATTTTAACAAGAAGTTTGGTATGACAGTGATATAACTGGAAAGTGAATTGTGATCAGGTAGAATATAACAACAACAACAATGAATGAATAACAAACCAGTTAAGTAGTGAATAGTGTTCAAACAGAAAAATGAAAAGAAAAAAGGGGGAAGTAGAAGAGACTAACAACTAAGATCATGAAAAGAGAACAGGGTGAACAGTCTTCCATATTCGAGTTATGAAATAGTAAAGAATATTTGTAGCTCAGGTGGATGGTCTTAGTTGTATTATGTTCTCTGAGATGGATTGTTTAATCGTCGAGAAGCTTTCATCGTGTCCTTCTAGACAACATCTTCATCACCACTAACTTCATTATGAAGTAACCTGTCAATATCTCTCTGTGAGTGAGTCTGTGATTGGTTGTTTCCTTCGATTATTGTGTCATTGACTGATTGGATAGATTTTTCTGTTGGCTGTCCCTCTGCTTGACCTCTAACCTATCATATAGTTTTCATATAGTTGTTGAATGAGGTTGATAAGGATTTGTGGTACTAGAACTGTAGTGTTGAAGCGGCTATCTGTCAACTTACTTCTCGGTCGACACTGTCGAAGTCCTTTTCACAGTCGATGAAGTTGAGTTGACTGTCATTGTATACTCTGTTCTATGATGATACGTAGTGTCACAATTTGATCCGCACATGATTTGTACTTCGTGAATCCAGTCAGTCAGCCAGCCTGTTCCGGTTATAATTTTGAATGCAGTGCATCCTCTAATCTGTCGAGGATTATGTTGCGTAATATTTTGCTTAGGGTGGACAGGGATGGAGCATGATTTCGCGCCAGTTCTTGTAAAGGCTTATGTCTTCTTTCTTTGGGAGTTTGACAAGGTAGATCTTCTTCCAATCAATCGGCAGGTACTTTTCCTGCCTCCCAGGCCTTCTGCAAAATATGATCTAAGTAGTATCTCGAATGGGTAGGTTCCCTATCGACACTTGTCTTTAAACTCCTGTCTTGTGTTCGTTTAATCTTGCAAGCCACTACATTGCTAGTTCACCTCCAACACTTTACTTTCAAAGTCACAAATAAATTGTATTATATTCACGACTGAATTCATTTGTGTCAACAACCTATTGACGTATTCCGATTTCAGTACTGTAAACGTATCCATCTACATATTGGAAGCATATCTTTGGAATAGGACTTAGTGTTTGAAGGGCCACATGTTCCCAACGATGCATAAGTATGTCTGTGAGAATAGGGGGATATTAGTGATCCCACATCAATCCATTTGGTTTGTTTATACATTTAATTTTGAAACTTAAAACGTATAGATGTCAGGCACAATCGTAGTCCTAGTATGATTACTTCTATGGGCATCTTAGTTCACTGCGTAAGTTGTTTGTCATCTTTAAGCCCATTTCTAACTGCCTCTAGAGTCATGTCACTCGTTACGTTTATGTAAAGGCTAGTTGCGTCAAAACGAACCATTTTTTCACTACCATCTAAGTGTATATCGTCTAATCTGTGCTTTAAGTCATAAGAGTTGATAAGTCAAGACTTCAAATGATTTCTTACTGGGACTAACACAACTAGTTAGTCGGCGTGTTTCTCAAATTCACTCTAGCCATGATGGGATAACTTGGCTTAATATTACCGTACATTTTACTGGGATTATTAGTTTTTGGCATTAAGTTAAACCACTTCGACTCATCTAAAAACGGCTTCATCCAGTATATCAGATCCCCTGTCGATTTCTTGACCTTATTCATAATAGTTTCCACTGACTTCTTAATTTCCTCATATGGTCCTGTTTCTGTATGTAGTCAGATTTGTTCATTACAACTGTTGAGTTGCCTTTATCCTGAGAACTTTTCTTTGTGGCTTGCGTAAATTAGATTCCATTTTCTTTTGTCGTTTCAGTGTTGGAGTACACTGTGCTCTTACTTCATCTGCAATTGTCTTATCTATTGAACTTAAGGCTAATTCTATTTTGGGAATGATATCTTGTAGTTTTAACTCATTAATCGCTAGTGGGTTAATAAGGCTTCGACGTCATTTTGCGCCCCCTTTATGCTGGTTAATGCGAACGTTCACAGATTCCCTAGCTCAATCATATTAGTCAGATAAGTTAGATAACTTTTCCCACCGGTTATCATCATCACATTTATTCTGTTTAAATATATTGCTGCTTCGAATATATATTCATAAATAATAGTCCTTTTGATGTTTGTTTGGTTAGCCACAGGTAAAGTATTGATTAAACAGGTACTAGAGCACATCATGTTAAGTATAGTTGGTTGAGGATTACGTAATAGTAAACACATTCAATCCCCTTACAGGTTTATACAACACTATTAGATTGTACACTCTGAAACTTAATCGTAACATCTATTCTCACTCCTTAAATCCTATTGGTTAGTTTCAAGTAAGATCGTAGAAGTCTATAGATTCATACCTAACATGAAATTTTGCTAGCCTTGACGCCTAATTTTGATTCTCGGTCTGTAATTTGTAAAACATTCTGAATGAATTCATATTGATATTATAGATGTGATATGAAGCTAATGTGGTTTGATGTTATGCGGTTACACGGATAAGTAGCTGTTTTGTAAGCAGTAAGAACCATTGGAGATATGTATCTGATGATGGCTATTTGGGGTTCTCTGAGTTTCAGTGTTTCGTCATAGATATTTCATCATTAAGCGTATTAATATCCTCAGCATTAACTTCATAAAAATATTAGAGGATAATTGAATACTGGACAAATGTTTAAATGTAGTGAAAGCTAATAAAAATTACTACATACTATTTTGGCGCGAAAACTTCATTCAAACTTGTAGGAAGTAAATGTTTCAAAAAAGATATTCAATTAGTAAAAAAAATACATCTGAATTTGTAGTTAAAAAAGATTAGTAATAAATTCTTGAATGATAAACAATGATATCACCTGTATTGATTAGTCAAAGGGAATGCAACTAATTTCATGTTGTCTAGTCTTGAATGCAGACCGAATCCTATCACTCGAGGTTGTAGATACACCTTGCTGATAAGCGCCAAAAGCCTCCAACCAACTAACATCTACTAATGTGCACCACTATGCTAAGCTTCCTAGTTTGGTTGCCATATTGCAAATATGATCAATAGGATTCAGTCTGCACACAGAACTAGACAACATGGAATTGCTTACACTCCCGTGACCAATCAATACATGTAAACCAGTCCTATAGGAGGTCAATCGCAGCCTGAATAGATCAGTGGTAAAGTGGCTGACTACATCATTGGGTGACATGGATTCGAATCTCAGGTGGGACATCAGTTCCATTACGCCTTGTTGACGAGTGGCAGACAGCACGAAACCTAGGTCAAGCAGGGCTTCCTGCCGATTGCCTCCAACCAACTAAAATGATATCATCTACACATATCAGTTCTTAGTGTTAAACGCTACAGTCTGTTATAAACAATAGCAGAAAGTTAAGATCACAAGTAACGTTGATCAAGTAACTATCTGAAATCTTGATAATGTAGACTTAGTCAACATTAAAGTTTCCTTACTGTACAGTTGATAGTTCCCTTTTTCAAAACTCTTCAATTCGATTTATGCTCTAATAGTATAATTTTGTCAATTGTTTATACTTCAAGTATATCATGAAATTATTATATAATGAAAGAGATGCTTCAATTTTTTCCACTTTCATCTATTAGATTGCATTATTACAAGCACATGCTGGTGAAATGCTTATTCTTGGTGCTGTCTGGCGATCAATGACACTAGTTTCAACGTATAAAACAAGTGTAAATCCATCAAATAACTATGAAGAACAATCTGTAAATGTTGGTCAGAAAAGAGACGATAACATTCAGTCTACTACTACTAATAATAATACTACTACTACTACCAATACTACTACTACTACTACTACTAATTCTGTTACATGGAATCATACTAGATCAAATATCTGTCAATCTAGTACCAATAACAAGGAAGATGATCAATTAAAACAAATGAATCAAACTGATGATTTACTTGAAATAAAACATATTCAATTGTCCAATAATGAACCACAACTTATCCTATTAGGTAATAATAGAATAATATCAAGACAAAGTCCACAACCTGAAATTTCTGAAATCGCTGATATGATAATTAATCAAATTTATTTACCAATACAAAATCTTTGTCTAGAAGAAGCTGAAATTGTTTGTTTTAGAGCGATAATCTTTTTTGATCCAAGTGAGTGTATATCTTATATAGATTTATTGATCATTAGATTCTGGTTCATTGACTAAATGTTGAGTATGTTTGTCATTTAACCTAAACTTCATGACTTCCATCTCCAACGGGATCATGGATATGTACTACCGAAGAGTCTGTATATTCTTATTTGTCCCTTGGGTTCCTAGTGGAACATGGAGCTTCAATGGCTCGTCTCTAGTGAACTCTGTTCTCTACAAACTTTTGAACCTGGCTCCACGACTGCCCACAGGCTCTCATTTCTTCCTAGCACGATTTCCTCTACATCACCTTCCTCTCAAATGCCCAACTAGTTGCTTCCTATCTGGGTTCCACTCGATGGCCTGGCCTGGTGCGTGATGTCCCCGATCAGCCTTCTCAGTGTATGCCCAGTCCATCTCCACTTCCTTCCACTGCATATTTGTCGAGCGATAGATTCTTGTCTCGATGGTTCGTTGCAACTCAAAGTTCCCTCTGGCTTATTCTTTCTGACCGTTTGAGCTTCACTAACAAGCCAGCATAGGCAGTTGTTGATGCATATCTATAGTTTGTTGGAAATCCCCTTCGTAGCGCGCCAAGTCTCTGAGCCATACAGGAGCACTGAATTGACTGGATTGGTGTTTGAAAATCTGGATCTTGTCCCACATACTGAATTCAGAAGATCTCCACACTGGTTTCAGGTTGACAAAAGCCTGTCTTGCTGTCCTTTCAATCCTGGCTTTGACGTCCTCGTCTGTGCCACCTGTAGTTGGAACGATGCTGCCTAGATAGTTGAAAGAGGCTGCTTCCTTCACGTTTCTCCTGTTGATGGTGATTGGAGGTTATTGTCGTTGCTGGTGCCATTGGTTGCGTATCTTCATCACCTCTGTCTTCTCTAAATTCACTTGAAGTCCGGTCTTCCTTGACTGTCCTGCCTTTTCTGTTAACTTATTATTTCATACTTGAACGAAACATCTGTTCAATACTTCCAAGTTTATAATATCCGTTCAACTAGTTTCTGTTCATAATGCGAACATGAATTCGATCCCCACTCCTTCTCAGAAGCGTATGGTATAACTTTGATGTTATTGTTCATAAATCTCTGTTGTTGATTGGACCTAACTTACTCAGTGTTAGTGGGAACAACATCACCGATTGGAGGGTAAGCATATGTAGATGACGGCTCCCAAATAGAACAAAACACCCATCCTGGGTTCTACTGATAGGTATGAATACTAAAAGATGATAATAAATTATAAAAAATCACCCTGATATCATAACTGCTAACTAACTAAGGTTAGTTTAATCTATATAAAAGAAGTTTTAGCTTTTTTCGGATACCATTTCAACAAATCTAAGCATACATCTCTAGTTAGTTTTGTAAATAGGTTGGAATACTGAATAGAACTTAATCTTGTAACCCGTTTTAACGATATGTTACTTAATGTCCTGACTCGAACTTGACAGACGCAGAGACCAATCACTAATTATTCGAACTTGTTATATACCCACGAATACGAAACCAAGGAAGAACAGGATAGCGTAGTCGGATGAAATAGTATATTTGAGTGGTTGCGCCAAGATACTGATGTGTTACAACTAATTAACCAGAGAGTTGATTACAAGCAGTGCAACGTAAAACGACAGCATGCCAAATCGAGAGGATGTTTAACCAGGCGCCTTTAGCTTAACGAGTCCAGTTAAACTATGAAGGTCAGCATCAATGTTGAATCTCATTAAACCTTAGGCTATTAATTTTGGGGAAGTGTATGACGCTACAATCTGCTCAACTTTAGGCGAAGTTGGACATTTACTGCCTAGGTCGATGGGATCGTTCAGTTTGATAGGTTATTACAACCATTTAGAAATATGTTCTATGACCGCTACTTGCATAGATTAACAAATTCTCACTAAATATGTGTGATCACACGTATATATTAACAGATAAACGTAATCGAACATGATCTCATCGTTCAAATGATGTAAGGGTTGATAGCAGTACATAAATTTGGTTTTCGTTCACAATGTTGACGATCATTACACTAAGTTAGCTGATCGTATGAGTCTATAAACTTATGAAGATTTTTTTTGAGGGAGTTGTGGGGATTTGGAAATATTTCAAGTTGTTATTCATTGTAGACTGACATCAGTTGGAGGAACAAAGGAAACCTGAGAGCACTGGATAGCTGTTTTGTCAGACTAGTATGCGACTCCTCAGCAGTGCGCACCCATGAACCCGCCCTCCCGGCGTCAAACCCGCTACCTTCAGGTTCCGCGACCAGCGTGCTACCATTGAGCTAGCCACTGTGTCAGAATCCAATGATCCATATTTCCAACTTCTGTTAGCTCACGATATATAGCGCAACCGCCACCCAATGTCATCATTGAGTAACTGTCCTCACGACCATCAGGCTTTGATTTTGATTTATTGATTCCACAATCGAATTCATCACTTACTGTAGAAACATTGAAAATTTGAGAGTATTAGACTAAGTATGGGTTTCATCAGCTGCACACGCCAACAAACTCGACAAGGACCGAAAAACAGACATTTGAGTTTTCTGACAACCATGTAACCATGGAGTTACTGAGTTGTAATTTTATGGTCCAAACTTTTCTAGTATTTTCAATACTCTATATAACGTTACTATCATTCAATGTTATCGTTGGGTATTATTAGGGAATTCTATGGAATACATCTATCAGAATTATGAAGACAATTAGCGAAAATTCATCAAAAAGGATTACTTATTACATATATGGTTATGTTCGTCAAACTAATCACAGAAACTACTATATACTCCACGTGAGTTTACGTGTTTGAGCGGATTTTAAACACTAATTCAGTGAAGTGAGTCAGTGCTTGCTTCCATGTGATGGTCAAGAGACTTGGCGCATCACGAAAATCATTTCCAACAAACTACAAACATACATCATCAATGGCTGCCACATACACTCACTCGATACTCACACTGAAGATGAGATCAGATAACTACAATAATAAGAATATGCAACAAAGATATCACTCTGACAATGAACCAACCAACCGACCAACCACGAAGCTGTCACCAACAAACATGTATAAGAAGAAAGTCGATATATGATGGAATGGAGTGGATTGGACTGGATTGGACACACTGAGAAGGTAGTTTGATGCATCGCGTGATAGGCCAGTCTGTCGAGTGGAACCGAAATGGGAAAGGAAGAGTTGGGCGTCCTAGCTGAAGGTAACATGGATGAGATCGTCTGAGGAAGAAGTGACAGCTTTTGGGCATTCCTGTATGCAGGTTAAGAAAGAAGACTGCAGAGAAGAGAGTGAAATAGTGACGTGTTATTGAAGCATTATTTTATACTAGGAACACAAAGGATAAATAATAATAATTTACATATGATCTGTACATTTGGGTCTCAGGAAAAAAAAGCCTATCCATTACTATTTACCCCCTAAATATGTGTTTAAAACTATATTGTACCATAAAACAACCTTATTTGTATTACCGCTCTTTTGTTGTTTATATAGATCGCGTGTACTTCACAGCAGTCCGGTCTGTTCTACTGTATGACTGTGAAACATGGCCACTGAAGGTAGAAGATATGAGAAGGCTTCAAGTTTTTGACCACAGTTGCCTTCGTAGTATACGCCATATTCCATCGTGTCACCACATGAGTAATTCAAAAGTCAGGTGTAGAGTTTTAGCGAGGGAGTTGAAATAAATCAGTTGACGAGGAGGTTACGAACCTTCATCGACTGAGATGGTTGAAACACGTACTACGTATGCCTAGTCACCGATTGCCTTGTCACACAATGTTGGTCGAAGTAGGTTGAGGCTGGAAAAAGGCCCGAGGTGGTCAGACTAAAACATGGCACCAGTGCATGAAGTCTTCGACTGTTGGTTTGAGCCATTTAGGTGGGGCGATGCAGACCAGGTGGTTGGGGTCGGCGGGACAAGAGGAACCAGTGGTTGGAGACTCTAGATGATATGGGTGAGAAGCGATGTCAGTGGCGCACGCATTATCCTCATCTTAACAACGCTATATCGGATTTCACCATTTTCTTCATTCCTCCTTTCTTTCTTCTCATACTTTATATTTCTTCTCGCTGCATTCTCTTATCTTCATGCTTCACCTCACTATCTTTCTACTTGATGTAGATCAAAATTTGTGGTAAATTTGAAATGCTACATTTATTTATGAGTATTTTTTTTCTAAAAAAAAATTGATAATTACATATAGGTTGTGAATCATTATCAGAAAATGGGCGTCTACTTGTACGAAGTTGTCAATATCTTGTACAAATGGAATTGATGAATTTAATGAATGAAAAATTATATTTACCTCAAGGTCGTTTTGGTGCCCTTCTATTACTTATCCCAGATTTTCGATCAGTCACTTATCATATGATACACAGATTACAAATTGCACGTCAAATGGGTTTAACAAAATTGGATGGATTATTATCAGAGATTTTATTAAATGGTAATACTTTTATTAATTTTTTTTATTGAGTGAATTTAAAGATCATTCTAACAATAATTGAAATAATTAATCAGGATGACCTTGAGAGTTACTTGTTATTTAAGCTTTATTACATCCATTGTACGGTAGTCACTGGCATTGAACAATTCAGATAGTTTCAAGTTGTTATTCATTGTAGACTGACATCAGTTGGAGGAACAAAGGAAACCTGGGAGCACTGGACAGCTGTTTCGTCCGACTAGTATGGGACTCCTCAGCAGTGCGCACCCACGACCCCCCTTGATGGACAGTTACTCAATGATGACATTGGGTGGCGGTTGCGCTATATATCGTGAGCTAACAGAAGTTGGAAATATGGATCATTGGATTCTGACACAGTGGCTAGCTCAATGGTAACGTGCTGGCCACGGAACCTGAAGATCGCGGGTTTGATGCCGGGAGGGCGGGTTCGTGGGTGCGCACTGCTGAGGAGTCGCATACTAGTCTGACAAAACAGCTATCCAGTGCTCTCAGGTTTCCTTTGTTCCTCCAACTGATGTCAGTCTACAATGAATAACAACTTGAAATATTTCCAAATCTCCACAACTCCCTCAAAATTTAATTCAGATAATGATTGACCATATATGTTGGAATGTATTATGCACATAGATTAGCCACTGAAGGGTAAACAATTTTATGCTATCCAACTAACATTCAACAAAGTGTATCATTATGTTCAGTCAACTAGCTTGGTGATCACAGTGTTAAATAAAGGATAGTATTCGACCACCACTTTGAACTAGACAACATGAAGTTGGTTTCCTACCATGGACCAATCAATGTATGCTATGTTTTGTATTTGAGGTGTATGTCGCAGCAGATATTTGGTCTTCTCAACTATTATAAGCCTAGCTGTATAGTATGGTTTGCTAACGGCACACCTTAACCTTCCCTTTAATATTACGCTATTTGATTCTCCTCTCTATTTGATAACATGATATAAACGCATTTCTTCGAAATAGAATACAGATTAGATTTCAATGTTGGCTGATTTCTACAACGCCTCATTAACTTCAATCAATATCCATTTTCCACTAATGTTTCAGTTAGTATTTTGATGTCATCATCCATTGAATCTTCCAATACTGGACCATTTTGTATAGGCGTAATACCAAACCTCCGTTGTACTGGGTTGGACAAAAGCTATGGAAACTTAAGTACTGACCTGTCCACATAGGTTTCTTGTAAATCGATCGTTTCATTAAACTATTATTTCTTCGACTTAGGAGTGTATCGAAGGAAGGTAGACGGTCTTATGTTGTTTTGTACCATGTTAACTCTTTCTAACTAACATGTCGCATCCTCATGGTTGTCACATATCAAGATTATATAGTCAGCATATCTCTTATAGAGAGTAACTTTATTGATGAGATTGCTGGTCAAGCCATCAATGTGTGACATGTTAATATCAGATAGGAATGTTCCTAGGGGACTTTCCATGTCCACATCATCTATTTGTCGAAAATATTCCCCTTCAAATGTAAAGTGGACTTTATTAGTAAACAATAATAGCAGCTCTTTGAAACACGTTGAGAAGATGGAGGAAGAAAGATTACTGGAATATATATGGTGACAAAGAATGTTAATGGTTGCAATTATGGGCATGTTAGTAAATAATGGGTTGACATCACTAATATAATCAACAAAATCAGGTTAAAAATTCTTATACTGGTTGATGATTGAAGGTGAAATGAAAATATGGACTTTGGCCGGATTCGAACCAACGATTATTGGATTACTGGTCCGATGCTCTATCAACTGAGTCACGAGGTCCAATATTTACATTTATCCAACTCAACAAGAAGGAATTTATTGTAATTATATCTGGGTCTAAGTTGAAGGCCATAGGAGAGAAAGAGGACGAACAAACATCTTCTGAATTCTTAAGTTAGGTTTTGAAAATTTTAATTGTTATGGCTGTTACTGTCCTTAATAACAGCATTTTGATAAGACTTTGTAAATAATAGGAAATGCTGAGGTTTTGTCAATCTTATGTTCAGTATCTATTTGATCGGAGAGTATTGACCTTTTGATGGATTACACTGTTCTTTTGCCTAACCATACTGGACAGTGTTAAGTGAAACTAGGATGGGCATATCAAGTCGTTCTACCTATACAACGTAACTATCTCCACAGGAGCACATAGATGTGGCCAAATTTGGAAGCCTATCCTTCAACACCGAGTAGTAAATTTCAAACATAGTCTACTGGCAAAGAAAGGGTTTTTTATGACAAAACAATAAGAAGACGTAAATTTATTTGAACCGTGTAATGTATTCGCGCAACACATTTCGAACTATCTGATCACACATACACACATACTTCTCATAGGTATTCACATGAAAACGCCGTCGTTGATTCGACCGAACTGAGCAGTTAGCAGTGGAATACAGGATGCACATTTCATCCTATTTGGGACTCATTGGTCAGCTGGATGCACCTGCCTCCCAGTGAGTCATGTTGCTCCCACCGGGGTTCGGGCTTCAAAGCGGTGGCTTTGAAAGCCACGGTGTTATCCACCACACCACCAAGCCACTTATTGTGCGATGGGTATAGTTTTATTGTTATTGCTTGTATTTAAACCCTCCTTGAAGCATCCCCACACGAGCCCATATGCTAACAGACACTCATCAATCCCGTCCAATCAAAGACGGTGTAATACAAACAATAACAACAAAACTATACCCGTCGCACAAGAAGTGGCTATCATAGCTCGATGCTATAGTGGTTAAGGCTCCGGCGTTTGAAGCGATCGCTCCTGAGTCCGAATCCCGGTGGGAACAACATCACTCACTGGGAAGCAGGTACATCCAGCTGACCAGTGAGTCCCAAATAGGATGAAATGCGCATCTTGGATTCCACTGCTAGCCACGATCCATCATTACTATACATGGTTACAAGACAGGCAATATCAAGGCATGTGCACAGGAGCCCATATGCTAACAGACAATGATCAATTCGGTCCAATCAACGACGGTGTAATACAAGCAATAACACTAGAATAACTATCAGTTGTTCAGTCTTATGTTATAGTTAATCCTGGATTCTATTTCATGATAAGTTGCTTGAGAGATAGAAAAATTAAAAAGAGTGTGGCATGACACTTCTACGAAACACTGGCAAGTGAAGCAGAACAGGCTGCAGGTAGGAGGGATCTGACAACATTGTATCAAATAACCAGGTTACTATCTGGGAAGAGATCAACATAGATGAAACCAATACAAAGTGATGAAGGAAATTTAATTACCAAAGAAGAGAAACAAAGGAAACGATGGGCTGACCACTTCAAAAAGCTCTTGAATCGATCATCACCTGCACTTCGTCCACAAATACCACCAGCAGACACAGAACTACAAGTGAACATAAATTCTCCAACAAAAGTCGAAGTCCTGAACGCCATAAAGTTGCTGAAATGTGGGAAAGCAGCAAGACCAGATGGAATCCCACCAGAAGCACTGAGAACAGACGCAGGGACAATAGCGGACATGCTCATACCACTATTGCAGAAGGTGTGGAAGGAAGGGAAGGTCCCTGCCGATTGGAAGAAGGGTTAACTTGTCAAACTCCCGAAGCAGGGTTACCTAAGTCTTTGCAAGAAATGGCACGGAATCACGCTCCTGTCCAGCCAGAGCAAGCAATACAATAAGGCTCATCATCCTGGAGAGACTAAATGATGCACTGGATTCAAAACTATAACCGGAACAGGCTGGCTGACTGACTGGATTCACGAAGTACAAATCAGGTGCGGACCAAATTGCAACGCTACGCTTCGCATCATCATAGAAGAGAGTATAGAATGGCAGTCAACCCAACTCTCTACCTCAACTTCATCGACTGTGAAAAGGACTTCGACAGCGTCAACCGAGAAGTAAGTTGACAGACAGTTGCTTCAACACTACAGTTCTAGCACCACAAATCCTTATCAACCTCATTCAACAACTATATGAAAAGGCCACATGCCAAGTAATTCACAACGGAAAGCTCAATGATACCTTTGGAGTAAAGTGAAGACAGGAATAAAATAAGGCTGCCTGCTATCACCCATGATCTTCGTGATTGCAGTGGACTGGATCATGCAACAAACAGTGAGGAGCGAGTAGAGGGAGATATAGTGGACCGCGGGAAAGAACCTAGGAGATTTGGACTTCGCTAATGACTTGTGTCTGATGTCGCACAAACTTGAAAGTCTACAGGCGAAAACTATCAAGTTGACAGAAGAGGCAGGGCAGGGCAGCGAAGACGGGACTTCAAGTGAACGTAGAGAAAACACAGGTGATGAAGATACCCAACAACAACAAGAATAAGTTCCAATCACCATGAAGGGGAGAAACTTGAAGGAAGTAGTCTCTTTCACCTATCTACGCAGCATCATTTCAACTACAGGTGGCGGCGCAGGCACAGACGAGGATGTCAAAGTCAGGATCGGAAAGGCCAGAGAAGCGTTCATTAGCTTGAAACCAATGTGGAGATCTGCACCAATCCAGTCAAGTCAGTGCTTCTGTATGGTTCAGAAACTTGGGGCGTTACGAAAGGGATTTCCAACAAACTACAGACATTTATCAACAACTGCCACCTACGCTCACTCGTTACTGAGGATTAGATGGCCAGAAATAATAAGCAACAATGAACTCTGGCTGTCTGGCAACGAACCAACCGAGAACCTATCGCTCAAAAAATATTCAGTGGAAGGAAGTGGAGATGGACTGGGCACGCACTGAGAAGGTCGACTGGGGATATTACGTGCCAGGCCAGGCTGTCGAGTGGGAGCGGAATGGGAAACGAAGGGTTGGGCGTCCGAGGGTGAAATGGAGGAGATGATGCTAGGAGGAAATGAGAGCTTCTGGGCTATCGTAGAGCTAAATTCAAAAGATTTTGAAGAACAAAGCGCATTGAAGACATGCTACTGAAGCCCTATGTTTCATTAGGAACCCAAGGAACAAATAATAATAATAAATAGAGTGTGACATAAAAGTACTTTGGTTCATGTTGCGACAATTTCCCTCAGTAATCAGTGGGAACTTAGATGAAGATTCACAGCCCCATCGATTGACTTACATTCCTAACTTCAAATTGCTCAGATGATGATTTTTCGATAAGTGATTAATATTATAAGAAATCTGTAGTTGGGAAGTTGTAATCTTTTATAACCTTCCACTTTAAACGGCTACTACTCGAAGTCGACGAAGTAGAGCAGAGTGAAGTTCAGTGCAGCATACTTGTACTTCAATAAGTAGTTGGATATTTTGTCAGTGTCACGTACGACCTAATTTCCCAACTGCTTAATGGATCGTTGGTTTTCAAGCTGATTTTTATACATTCATATACACATTTGTACCATGTCTTTTGGGTGTTTAACCAAGTAGACTACTAGATATTCAATGATGTAGAGAACACGCAAATACTAATCTTGTATTAAAGATATTAAGTTCAGTTTTACAATCTACTAAAACATGTTTTTCTAGGGTAAAGTGCAGAAATTAGCTTCAAAAAGTTTTCGAATCACTTTTATCATGGATCACCTGATAAATACTCTCAGAAAATTTATTATTGTGAAATGCCTACTTTATTACTGTTTTAGTAGTATAATTCTAATTATGAAAGTTAGTGTGCCACTTCATTCAGTGGAAACGAAGTCGCGGTTAATCTCTGAAATGAGGCTGATAATTACATAAATATAGGAGTAAAACTTATAATTCCATTTTAATACATATTAATTGACCTTTGAAATATCTTATATTTGATTTGTACAGATGTAATGACCGAATCAAGCAGTAGAACTGATAATGCCCATTCAGGATATACTTCTAAGCGTCATTCATTACAAAATAAATCTCTTCACTACGATTACAATGCTCTGACTACAGCATATTCAATGCCTAAACATAATTATATTGATGCATCAACACAATCATCTTCATCAACTTCATTATCTAAAGTAGCTGTAGCAGCTGTAGCGGCTGCTTCATCACTAACACACCTATCTAATATACCAAATCAAATTGAAATCCAACATTTTAATGATACTAATCCTATTGTTATCGATGAAAATTCTATCTCAGATAGATATATACCACTGAAATCCTCACCATCAGTAGTAAATATAAATACACAGAATAAAGAAGAACACACTGAATCTAATTTACTTATATCATCTTTACAACCGATGATAAATAAAACATATTCAGCTGGGTATACAGTTGAACAACAACAAACAACATCAATTCATACAGGATCAACATCTACATCTATACTTTCAGGATCTGTTATGTTAAATAATTGTGAGAATAATGCAGGTCAAATACCATTTAATCATACATTTAATAGTAGAAATACTGGTGAGAGTTGTACATCATCTGAGACACTGGAAATCAGTTCATTAACTGGATACTATCAGTGTAGAGAGTTAAACATGAAGAAAACAACAGGATAAACATCAATGAAGGTATTCACCATGATGATGATGATGATGATAATGATGAAGATTTCAATAGTACTGAGAGTAATAATCACCCCGAGAATACTAATGGTCAAACTAGACAAATTTTCGCAATGCAATGTAAGTTTTATAACCATAAAAATTGAATGAATAGGTTTCTACTTAAGTATATATTTCCAATTTCTGATTACTTGAGTTAGTGAACTTAAATGATTGGTCAATTTTAATGTAAAACAACCTTAGAAAACTTTATACTGATTCACTTATCAACGAGTTACACTCGTTGTTCGAAGACTAATGTTACTAATTGCCTATACAAACCATTGTAGATTGAGGCGATAAGTTCAAATCTATGACGGAGTAACTGATTAAAAGTCAACTAACTAACAATACCGGTAAAATCTATGACAGCCTATGACCTCGGTTGATCATTTGTTAGTTCAAGTTGGTATTCATTAAGAATTGACATTAATTAGAGGAACATTGGAAATGTGAGAGCACTGGACAACCGTTTCACTCCAGTATAGGACTCATCAGCAGCGCGCATCTATGACCTTCTCCTTCCAGTGATCGAAACCACTAACTTCAGGTTCCGCGACCAGCACGTTACCATTAGGCTCGTGGATTGAAAGTTATGGTCCACATTTCCTATTTCTATATTCTCTATCGTCTTCTTAACCCAGTTCCACCACTTGCCCAGAAGCTTTCATGTCCGCCTCACACCATCTCCTCCATATCACTCTCGGAAGGGTGTCCAATACAATCGATTCCATCTCCTCTCGATTTTCTTTTTCTGCATATTTGTTGGCGACAGCTTCGTGGTTGGTTCGTTGCTAGGCCACACTTCCTTGTTGTTTATTCTTATTATCCTGATCATCTGATCTCATCTTCAGTGTGAGTACGAGTGAGTGTATGTGGCAGCCATTGATGATGTATGTTTGTAGTTTGTTGGAAATGGTTTTTGATGCTCCAAGTCTCTTGACCATCACATGGAAGCAAGCACTGACTCACTTGACAGAATTAGTGTTTAAAGTCCGGATGTTGTTCACGCTTTATGCTGAGTGCAGTGCAGTTCAGTGTTGTGCAGTGCAGTAGATCTCCACACTGATTTCAGTATAATTCAAGTAGAACTGTCTTCCTGTCTTTCCCATCCTGGCTAGCTTTAACATCCCCATCTGTGCATGTGTCGTCTGTAGTTGAGACGATGCTGCTAGGTAGGTGGGTAGGTAGGTGAAAGAAACAACTTCGTCTAGATCAGACTTCTCTCGTTGATGCTGATTGGTGCTTGTTGCTGCTGTTGTTCGTTGGATATCTCCATCACCTGTGTTTTTTCTTTGTTCGGCTGCAGGATGTCCGCTCCTCGCTGTCCTGCCTCTCCTCCTCATTTGTTAGTTGTCTTCTGTGGATCTTCGAGTATGTGCGACACAAGACATTCCACATAAATCATCATCGTTGGCGAAATCCAAATCTTCTGGTGTCTTTATCGTTTCATCGGCGAAGCAGCGTATACGCATCTCCTCGCTTCTCACAGTTGTTTGTGACATGGTCCAGTTCAGTGGAGTCAAGGACAATCATGAAGATAATTGGTGATAGTAGGTGGCCGCCTTATCTTACACCTTGCTGTCTTCACTTCAATAGCGTCACTGAGCTTTCCAAATTATCCCCATTTTATTTTGATGACACCTCGTATAAAAAGACTGCTTCACTGATTTACTATTCTTGAATACTTAGTCGAGTGTATAAACACTCAATCAGTTGGCTGAATGTTTAACCTGACAGTTTTCATTCAAGTTTCGACTAAGCAATTCAATTGCATAGTAGATTGACAGCTGTAGTTTTTCGATTCAATCGATAAAATCGACAGTGTTGAGTCAATTTCAGCAAACCTTAAGTATATATGAATGAAGACTTGACCAGGAACAAATTAGTTTTCGATGTTATCATCTTCTTCAGCCGTACAATTCCATTACAATATACTCACACTATACATAAAAATGTCAATATTTCCCAATCAATAATTGTTAGTTGTTTGTCATCACAAAAGTAGTATACGAATAGAAATTAGGTAAGAGATATGAAGTGAAACGTTTCAGAAGTTATAAAAGATAGAAAATGGCAAAACTATTCCAGAATACAAAATTTTACAGTTTCAGCTGCTGTATTGGCAAAGTTTTAGCAATGCAAAGTAAACGTTTTCTCATACACTTCAAATAAGTATATTGTACTTTGTAGAGTAGTATGAACGAATCTTCTGGAATTGTACATTGACTGCCAACCAAATTCCATGAAATGGATGTGTCAATTGATCTGCGGCGACTTTTATTGAACCATACCAGAAGGTGTTGACGCTGAACAATCTGCCTCTGAGTACGACCCAACTCCACATAAGCAGGTGGATTGACATGTATGTATTGAAGTGGTTAGCAGTAGTAGTGTATTCTTTGCACACGTCTCCATCATTGGGTGACCAGTATAAGGATTTGAAGATTGACTGCACAGATAGTTATTTTGATAGCCTTCAGTTTATTTATGTATCCTTCTTAGTTTCTGTTACCGGAAACGTCGATCTTAAAGATTTAATTTCATCTTTTCAAGTTTCTGGAGTTAAATCTTCCTCATCCGAGGGAAAAGATGACGTATTCAACTTCAACTATGAAAGTTAGTCATTTGTCCATTGGACGTTTTCGATTAGTGGATAATTTAAGTGTCTCATCATCTCTTCTTGTCAGCAGTGCGTCAAACAGTGGTATCTTCAAGTATGATTTCATAAAATATGCATCTTCAGTGTAGTTTCCTTAAGGTATTTCGTCGGTAAATATATGTGATTTTTGAGATGAATGGGGATTTTTTAATTTAGAAGTAGTATTCACCATAGACTGATATCAATTAGGGAACAAATAGAAATCTCGGAGCACTGGACAGCTGTTTCGTCAGACTAGTATGGAACTCCTCAGCAGTACGCACCACGACTTAGCTAGGATCGAACTCAGGAAATTGTGAACCACTGAAAATCGACCCAGTGGCTGGATGGTTAACGCGTCCGCCGTGAAACCTGAAGGTCCTGAGACCGATAGCTATCCGAATCATGGGTGCACACTTTTGAGGAGTCCCATACTAGGACGAAACAGCTGCCCAGTGCTCCAATTGTTCCCCCAACTCATGTCATTCCATGGTGAATACCACTTCTAAGATATAAGTAATGTTTGTATATTTTCGTGTGTTGAACACTGGCTTCTAGTCTGCAGTTTCTCGAATCTAAGAATCACCATCTTGACCAAAACATATGCTCATAACAGTCACCTGGTTGTTACCCAAGTTCACAAAGATAATTTATTTCTCTACTATTTATAACGATAAAATTTGTATGAATTAACTATTTCACGCTGAAACTTTTTTTAAAAATTATTTTGCCTACTTATATTTTTATTCAGTAGGCTTAGAAAATCCATCAAATTCAGACTATACCATTAATTGTCCACCAACATTAGAAGCTGGTGTTTACTACCCAGAGAATAATTCACTCTATGCTACATATTCATATCATTTGAATCCAATCAATGCGAAATATAATCCAGGCAATAATAACTCAACAATTTATGCATATAATAATGAATCAAAACAATTGATACCAATTGAAAATGCTAGTGAATATATGCCACAATTAATATCTGGTATATTTACAAATGGTCAATCTTAGAGATAGACGATTTATTCATATTCAATTGTACAGTTCCTAATCTCATTACAATGTATCATTTTGTTATAAGAAAAAAGAAACTCATACATAGAGTTATCTTCTTTCCTCTGTTGACATTCAGAATGGATACATATCAAGTATAGTGAATATATTGTTTGCTATATTAAAAGATTCTCGGGTTGATTTCGTTTATTTACTTGTTTATTAATTTACGTATTCATTTTCTAACCAAATTATGCCTTTTGATTTGTTTTCTACTATGAGTTGTGCTTATTCCTTCATTTTAAATTATTTTTCAGTAATAAAATTATATAATTTACGTGTTGGTGGTTAGTAGTAGGGTTTCAGATGCATGTTTGCGGCTCATCAGCTGTAAGCGATTGTCCTCTAATTATTATGATTATTTGCCCCTTGGATTCCTAGTGGAACATACCACTTCAGTAGCATGTCTCCATTACACTCTCTTCTCTACAATCTTTCAAACCTGTCTCCATGACAGCCCACAACTTCTCATTTCTTCCTCACACGATCCCCTCCGTGTCACAATCAACTCGTCCTCGTTCTTGCTTCGTTGGCTCGTTTCCAGTGTCACTTCCTTGTTGCTCATTCACATTCATTCTGGCCATCTCAGATTCAGTAACGAGTCAGTATAGTTGGCAGTTGTTGATGAATGTCTGCTCTTTGTTGCTAATGCCTTTCATAACGCACCATGTCTCTCAACCACCACATGGAAGCACTCACTTGACTGACGTTGGTGTTCAAATCCAGATTTTGTTCACTCTTTATGCTGAGTGCAGAAGATCTGCACACTGGCTCCAGGTTAATACACGAAGGCCTGTCTTTCTGTCTTTCCCATCCTCGCTGGCTGGCTGACTGGCTGACTTTAACCTCCTCGGCTGCACCTGTGCCTGTGCCGCCACCTATAGTTCAAACAATGCTGCCATGTCTAGGTAAGTGAAAGAGACTACTTTCTTCAAGTTTCTCCCCTTCATGGTGATTGCAGCTTCTTGTTGTTGTTCATGGTGCTGGTGGCATTGGTTGGGTATCTTCATCACCTCTGTCTTCCCTACGTTCACTTGAAGTCTCGTCTTCGCTGCCCTGCCCTGCCTCTTCTGTCAACTTGTTGGATGTTGCCTGTAGATCTTTGAGTTTGTGTGACATTAGACATAAGTATTCGGCGAAATCCAAATCTTCTAGGAAATTGCCGCCTTATAAATGTTATTCGCATTGAGACTAGAAATCGAGACTCAACGCTTCAACCAACACAGAGTCATCCACCAGACCACTGAATCATGATAACCATTACTTGTGAGACGGGTGTAGTTTATTTAAAATTCCTTCTATCATCCAATCATTGAACTGACCGAATCGGTCGGTAGATGTTGGCATATGTGCAAGCAACAATAAAGGAATCAAATATTGAAATTTCTCGCAGATTAATAATATCCATTAGGATGTAAACAAGTTCTCAGGGTTAGTCATATTGACTTACTGAAGAAAGATTGAACTGATACTCTAGTAAAAGTTTATTTTCTTCTTGAAAAAGCCTCTGTGTTATTTCGATTGCAACGATGAATAGTAGGTAACAGTGGAATTAAAAAGGTGAGCTTTTTCCTAGTTACAATGTGACATTAACAACTACTAAGATTCTATTTACTGATGGCATTTCTACGGGGACTTGAATTTGTTTCGAAAACAACGTTATCAATAAGGCTTACTGAATTAAGCAGAAAATAAACTGTGCAACAGTTCTCATTTGAATAAACTTGTAATTTCTTGTTGTTGATTGTACAAAATGATATAATCCGGATCTACTGTCATGCATGAAAATGATCTTGTATCGTTTTGTTAACAAGTATGATAGGATATATTTGTCTACTTGGAAATTATGGCAAGCTAAAGTTCAAAATGCTAACATGTATCGTACTGCACTGCAGTTCGTTTTATCCTGTTGTACGGCTGTGAGACATGTCACTTAACATTAGAAGAGTTGAAGCGATTATAGGATATTGAGCATAGGTATCTGTCTTTATACCATTGTTGAGGTTAGGCGAAAGGTATTCAGCAAGACAAGCAAGTTGATTGATGAGGTTGTGAACCTCAGTCGACTCAGATAGCTTGGACATGTACTGCGCATACTGAGCGACCACCTACATGGACGTGTCATGCTAGGAGAAATTGGATTAGGATGCAAGAGAGTTAAAAATGACCGAGACGAAAAGAATTAGTGGTTGATGATTCTTGTCAACATGACTGAAAATTGGTCACAATAGAATCGATGTATTCACTCTGTGAGACCTCCTGAAGGTTGAATATTTGCACCAGTCGCTATCTTTAAACTGTCGGGATCCATTGATGCCCATTTTTCTACTTCTGATAGTTTGCCATATTGTAAAACTATCATCCATTGCCATAATTTAGTGCCTGTCCTCATATTCGGTATGGTTTGACGCATAAGTCACCACCTTTCATTAGAATTTCGGTGAACCTCATCTAGGAACGCGTCACTAATAGGGTGAAACAGCTATCCAGTGCTCCCAAATGATGTCAGTCCATGATGAATACCACCTTGAAATATATTTATCTCTACACATGTCTAAATCGAATTTTTCTCATTCTTGAGTTCATTAGTATTGTAATAAAAGTTAATGCATTGCAGGTATGATCTGCTTGTTGATAACTTTCAGTGAAGTACCCAAAGCGTGCTTTATATCACTTAGATGGTGCTGTTCCCCACCCCTTGGTCCCTAGGACTGAAACATGAGACTGTATCTCTGTACATGGCTTAGACTAACAGTTACCTCAAGATATTATCCAACCTGGACAGTGAATGGCCAAGCATAACCCATATCTGGATTGGTGTACTTTTTATGACAAATTCTACATCATTTTATTTTTTTTCTACCTATCGTCTAAATTTTAATGGTGTTATGTTCTCTGAGTTGGATGATTTCATTGTAGAGCTTTCATGATCATTCTAGATAACATCATCAGAAAGAAGGGAGCTATAGACTTTTCTTCACAAATAGTCTAGTAACCTATTCTGATGGCCTTAGCTGTGATTGGTTGTTTCTGCCAAGTTCTTGTCATTCTCTAAACTTATTTTGATTGGTTATACAACTGACATGACGTTTGACCTTGTAGTTGTTTCCTTATTGGTCGGTATATATATATTGATCGTTTAACGTGTGTTATATACAAACTATTCATGCTTAAGTAGTTACTTTTCTTATAACTGACTATTCACCAGTTTTAACTTCCTTCTCTTCACAGATAGACAGAAGTAAAATTGATTAGGGGAAAAAAAGATGACCTAAGTAAAACAAAAAAAACATTGTTAATTAATTCCTACATATATATATGAGGCTGTTAAGTGTCTCATTTAATGCGTTCATTCTATCTTTGTTTTACTTGGGTCATCTTTTTTTCCGCTAATCAATTTTACTTCTGTCTATCTGTGAAGAGAAGGAAGTTATATATATATATATATATATATATATATATATATATATATATATATATGCATAATTGTAGACTCTTTAATACACATAAAAATGTTCATTATCAAATACGGATAGGATACTTCAATCACATATATATATATATATAAATGCAGAGATAAAATGAGGTCAAAGAGCACACGTGCGCAAGCACCCATTCATCCATCCAATCCCCCCCCCACATACACACACATACAAAGAACAAAATAGACCCAAAAAATGAATTTACATACGAGATAAAGGAAAAAGTAACGGAAATTATTGCAGTAAACAATACGATACATTAAATCAATTATGAAATAAGTGTGTGTGTGTGTGTGCACGCGCACCAATTAAATATCGCGCGTAATTTAGTGAAGATAAACAAACAAATAAACATATTGCTACTATTACTATAAGAATAGAGATATACAAACATAAAGATAGGATGACTGAATCAATGAATAAAAATGTATAACTGATCTAGGGAATGATGATACAAAGAAAACGAGAAATAGTTGTGTCATGGATATAGAATCTAACCTTCAATACATAATGTTCATCCTATCAAAATGAAAGCGGTTAACGCTTTATATTATTGTTTTATAGGCGAGCATCTAAATGGTTTCATATGACCACCGAACCCCCCTCCTAGAACATTTAGTCAATTTGTATGTGTGTGTGTGTCAGTAAGTTAAACACGCGTATTGCAATTTCACGAGAAAGAAATCAAATCATAAAAGACATAAAATATAAAGGAATTACAGATAGAAAAAAAAATCAATAACTAAGCTAGATTGATGATGATGATGATAACGATGATGGCGGTAATATACTGAAAGCGAACTAAGATGCACAGAAACTGTATTACTTCATCAATGATTCACATGGTAAACAAACAAACTTAACAAAACTGAATAATTAATTCACAATCAATTGTTATCATATATTCTTTGAATGATTTCAAGTAAAGTAAAACGTTGATTGGTTAAAATAAGATAATGTCGATACACATACATCATTATAGAATCCTATGAGTATACTGATAGTACTACTGAACAATACACACATAGATATTTGCCTAAAAATCTAAAGTTAAAAAATAATTAGTGATTGTAAAACAAAAAAACACTAAGTGAAGAAAACTATAATTACCATCTCATACAAAAAATGTCATTATTATCATTATTATTATAATTTGGTTGGTTATAGCTAACAGAAGAATCCTATGTGGGACTCATCAGTTGGATGTACCTGTATCCCAGTTTGGAGTGATGTTGTTCACACCGGGACTCGAACCTCGTACTCATCACTTCAAACATCAAGGCATTGTCCACTTCTTGTTCAACGGCTAGTATAGTTATTACTACTGATTGTTTTGTTGGATCGATTTGTCCCACCTCTATTGGCATATGACCTCCTATGCGAATGCTTCGATATTGCCTGAATGTCAATTATCGTAATTTAGTTGGTTGTGGCTAGCAGAGGAATCCAGCTTTACGCATGTTATGCACCTTGGCGTTTGAAGCGATGGTTATGAGGTTCGAGTCTCAGTGGGAACAATATCACCCCACACTGGGGTGTAGATACATTCAGCTGGCGAGCAAATCCAAAACACGACGAAACGGGCATCAAGATGAATTCCTCTCCTAGCCATACCCAAGCAAATTATCATAACTAACATTCAGGCAATATCGAAACACTAGCATAGCAGCCTATATGTCAATAAAGGTGGAACAACTTGATCCAATAAACCAACAAACAGTAACAAGCATGTCAATAAATAGTAATTATTACTATCACTATTATTACTACTGCTACTATCATTTAATAAACTTCTGTCCTGGTAAGTAAGTTGAGTAAGTTGACCATTGGGTAAATGGACCATATATATATACATAAATATATTTCATCTATATCATTATTCCCATCGCTACTATCATTACTATTACTAGTATCATGATTACTATGATAATCATCATTGTTATCATCACCATTACTATTATTATTATTATTATTTATATTATCAATATCATTGCCACTCTTGTTACTGTTGGTGGCAACTACTGCGATTATCATTATTGCTGTTTTCATAACCACTATTATATCCGTTACCTTTATCATATTCACTGTTATTAGTTATTATTGGGATTATTACCACTACACGTCTTATTACTGTTATTATTATTATTATTATTGCCACTACTATTATTGTTATTTATCCCTTTGGTTCCTAGTGAAACATACCACTTCAGTAGCATGTCTCCATTACACTCTCTTCTCTACAATCTTTCAAACCTGCCTCCATGACATCCCACAACCTCTCATTTCTTCCTCACACCACCTCCTCCATGTCACAATCAACTCGGACGAACAACTCGTCCTCACCCATCTGCCTTCCAATCGACTGTCTGGCCTCGTGCCTCATGTACCCCAATGGTCTTCTCACTGCATGTACAATCAATCTACACTTACTTCCAATGCATATTTGTTCAGTCATAGCTTCTTGCTTCGTTGGTTCGTTACAAGTGTCACTTCCTTGTTGCTCATTCACATTCATTCTGGCTATCTCAGCTTCAGTAACGAGTGAGCGTCAGTGGCAGTTGTTGATAAATGTCTGCTCTTCGTTGCTAATGCCTTTCATAACGCACCAAGTCTCTAACCATCACATGGGAAGCACTCACTTGACTGACGTTGGTGTTCAAAATCCAGATTTTCTACACCCCTTATGCTGAGTGTAGAAGATCTCCACACTGGCTCCAGGTTAATACACGAAGGCCTGTCTTTCTGTCTTTCCCATCCTCGCTGGCTGGCTGGCTGGCTGGCTGGCTGGCTGGCTTTCACCTCCTCGGCTGCACCTGTGCCTGTGCCTGTGCCACCACCTGTAGTCAAAACGATCCTGCCTTATCTACGTAGGTGAAAGAGACTACTTTCTTCAAGTTTCTCCCCTTCATGGTGATTGCAGCTTCTTCTTGTTGTTGTTCGTGGTGGTGGTGGTGGTGGCATTGATTGATTATCTTCATCACCTCTGTCTTCCCTACCTTCACTTGAAGTCCCGTCTTCGCTGCCCTGCCCTGCCCTGCCCTGCCCTGACTCTTCTGTCATCTCGTCAGGTTTTCCTGTACATCTTTGAGTTTGTGTGACATTAGACATAAGTAGTCGGCGAAATACAAACCTTCCAGGATCTTTTCCTCGGTCCAGCGGATGCTCATCTTCTCACTCCTCACTGTTTGATGCATGGTCCAGTCCACCACAATCAAGAAGATCATGGGTGATGGTAGCCGGCCTTGTCTTACTTCTTCCTGTCTTCACTTCAAATGCATCACTAATCTCTCCATTGTGCATCGCTCGGCATGCGGCATCGTCATATAGCTGTTGACTGAGGTTGATAAAGATTTGTGCTACTCCGTAGTGTTGTAGCAGCTATCTGCCGAATTACTTCTCGTTCGACGCTGTCAAAGGCGTTTTTAAAGTCGATGGAGTTGAGGTAGAGAGTTGAGTTTAATGCCATTCTATGCTCTGTTGTATGATGAGGATGCGTAGTATTGCAATTTCGTCCGTACATGATTTGTACTTCCTAAATCCAGTCGGCTGTTCTGGTCGTGGTTTTGAATCCAGCGCATCTTTTAGTCTCTTCAGGATGATGCGGCATAATATTTTGCTTGAAGTGGACATGAGCATGATTCCGTGCTGCTTCTTGCAAAGACTGAGGTCTCACTTGTTTGGGAGTTTGACAAGGTAGCTTTTCTTCCAGTGGCCAGGTAACTTCCCTTCTTTCCAGACCTTTTGCAATAGTGGTGTCCACTTTTGTCTCTGCGGACTGTTGTTACCACAATTATTATTATTATTATTATCATTGCTATGAATATTATTACCATTAGTTATAACATTTTTTTTATTCTCAGTAACATGATTATGAAAATCACTACCATTTAGTAATGATAGGCAGTAGCTAGCAATGGAATCCAGGATGCGCATTTCGTCCTACTTGGGACTCACTGGTCAGCTGGATGTACCTGCTTCCCATTAAGTCATGTTGTTCCCACCGGGACTGGGGAGCGATCGCTTCAAACGCCAGCGCGTTATCCCCTACACCACCAAGCCACGACAGCCACCTCTTGTGTGACGGGTATAGGTTTAGTGTTATTGCCTGTATTACACCGTCGTTGATTGGACCGAATTGATCAGTCTCTGTTGGCATATGAGCTCATATGTCAACAGAGACTGATCAATTCGGTATTCATGTTAACTGAAGTATATTATAAAAAGAGAAATCACAATAAAATCGTCTTCTTGTAGCTTACCTGAGAAAACATCATAACAATGCATTGAAAGATTGATTCGACTAGAAAGTTGACATAAAAAGCGCAGAGAAAGGGAGAGAGAGAGAGAGACGGAGAAAAGAAGATATTATCATACTTTTAAATAAAGGTTGATGATAGGAATGCTTCATATTATTGAAAATAATGTAGTACACTGTAGCTAACTGGTTTACAGTGTTCACTTTCAACCAATGAATAAGTGATAAGATGGAACACCGCTTCATCTACAGATGTTTAGGCAGACAGGTGTAGATAGCAGTATCGTTAGCCAGCACACACACACACACACACACACACACACACAATAGGTATAGTTTATTGCCACCTACTGTCACTGTTCTGTTAAGAACTGAAGAAGCCTGCAGGTTATAGGTTAAATAGGATAGAGAAAGGCAACAAACATGCAATTTATTTTCTCTCCTCATTACTTTCATTATTATTATTATTATTATTATTATTATTATTATTATTATTATTATTATTATTATTAACAGTATTGTCAAAATCTAGGGAAATTGAATTGCGAATTTTATACGCAAACATATCGATGAATAGAGTACTTACTGTATAACATTTGATTCAGCCTGTTGTACTATAACACTGAACATTGTTACTAAGACAACAAGCAATTTAACCATTTATTTATATTTAATCATCAGTTTAGGTATAGACGAAAGATGATGATGCGCAAATAAGTTTGCCTTACACTTTGACTAACAATACAGGCGATCATCATCATCATCATCATCAACATAGGACTAGGCATTACTGCCTAACGGTTCAAGTTGCCACACCTCATATCAGTATATTAAGTAAAGGGAGAGAAGGGAGGAATGAGAAAATGGTGAGATTCCGTATAGCGTTGTTTAGATGAGGATAATATGTGTATATATCTGTGTCACTGACATCGCTTCTCAGCCATATCGACTATAGTCAGTCTACAACAACTGGTTTCTCTTGTCCCGCCAACCCCAACCACCTAGTCTGCATCACCCTACATGACTCAAACCAACAGTCAAAGATTTCATATATTGATTCCATGTTTTAGTCTCACCACCTCCAGCGTTTTACCAGCCTAAACCTATTTCAGTCAACATTGTGTGAAGAGGCAATCGGTAACTAGGCATACGTAAAACATGTCCCAGCCAACCACCTATGTCGATAAAGGTTCACAACCCGATCAACTGGTTTACCTCTTCTCCCCAAAACTCTACACCTGACTTCTACGTTACTCACATGGTGAAACCACGGAATACGGTTTATACTACGAAGGCAAAGGTGGTCAAACACCTGAAACCTACTCATGTCTTCCACCTTCAATGGCCATGTTTCACAATCATACAGTAGAACAGACAGGACTGCTGTGCAGTACACGCGACTCTTAATAGACAATCAGATATCACGGGGGCACCACAGGTGGTGTAAATTTGCAAAAGCCAGTCGAACCTTTTGTATTCGTGCAGAGATTTCATTGATCACTGAGCCACCAGAGCAGGACTGATTCAACTTCCAGGTACGTGAAGCGGTCGACATACTCAACCACTAAACTCTCTATTGTTAGCCAAGGCACTGCAAAAGACCAATCCTGGAGCAACAGTTTGCATTTAGATGGTGAAAAAACGCATCTCAAACATTCTCAGATTGCCACTACACAACTGATAATATCCAAACATATGTTGTTTTACTTAGTGATCATGACATTCTTGTTAGAGATGTCTACATCCCTTATATTCAATACTTACAATTTGTATGCATTTGAATTGGCTTATTTCGTGCTCTTTTCGTCAGCATGGATCATATTTTTGATATGATGCGCTATTATTCTGATTGGCTTGTGTCTCTTTAAATGTACTAATTATCCTTTATCTTTCAAGGTTATTGTAAATTCTATAAATGGGGTCAGTTTTCACCCATAAACGTTTTCAATTCAAGATACTATAAACTTATGTGATTTCTAGCCTTTTGATTTCTCGCTGACATTTATGATTATTATTATCATTATTGGTTATTATAATTTATCCTATGGGTTCCTAGTAGAACATACAGCCTCAGTAGCAGTTCTCTATTCCACTCTGTTCTCTGCAATCTTTCGAATCTTGTTCACGCTTTATACTGAGTGCAGAAGATCTCCACACTGGTTTCAGGTTAATACACGAAGGCCTGTCTTTCTGTCTTTCCCATCCTCGCTGGCTGGCTGGCTGGCTGGCTTTCACCTCCTCGGCTGCACCTGTGCCTGTGCCTGTGCCACCACCTGTAGTCAAAACGATCCTGCCTTATCTACGTAGGTGAAAGAGACTACTTCTTCAAGTTTCTCCCCTTCATGGTGATTGCAGCTTCTTCTTGTTGTTGTTCGTGGTGGTGGTGGTGGTGGTGGCATTGATTGATTATCTTCACCACCTCTGTCTTCCCTACCTTCACTTGAAGTCCCGTCTTCGCTGCCCTGACTCTTCTGTCATCCCGTCAGGTTTTGCCTGTACATCTTTGAGTTTGTGTGACATTAGACATAAGTAGTCGGCGAAATACAAACCTTCCAGGATCTTTTCCTCGGTCCAGCGGATGCTCATCTTCTCACTCCTCACTGTTTGATGCATGGTCCAGTCCACCACAATCAAGAAGATCATGGGTGATGGTAGCCGGCCTTGTCTTACTTCTTCCTGTCTTCACTTTAAATACGTCACTGAGCTTCCCATTGTGAATCGCTCGGCATATGGCGTCGTCCTATAGTTGTTGAATTAGGTTGATAAAGGTCTATGGTATTTCATAGTGCTGAAGCAGCTGCCGAATTACTTCTCGTTCGACGCTGTTAAAGGCCTTTTCAAAGTCGATGGAGTTGAGGTAGAGTTAAGTTGACTGCCATTCTACGCTCTGTTCTATGATGATGCGTAGCGTTGCGTTGCAAATGGATTCACACATGATTTATACTTCTTGAAGCCTGCCTGTTCCGGTCATCGCTTTGAATCCAGCGCATCCTTTGGTCTGTTCCAGGATGATGAGGCTTAATATGTTGCTTGCTTTGGGAGGACAGGAGCATAATTGCACGCCAGTTCTTGCAAAGACTTAGGGTGCCCTTCTTCAGGAGTTTGACAAGGTAGCCCTTCTTCCAGTCGCCAGGTACCTATCATTCCTTCTAGACCTTCTGCAATAGTGGTATGAGTATATCTGCTATTGTCCCTGCGTCTGTTCTCAGTGCTTCTGGCGGAATTTCATCTGGTCCTGCTGCTTTCCAGCATTTCAGCAACTTTATGGCGTTCAGGACTTTGAATTTCGTAGGAAGACTTGTGTTCACTTGTAGTTCTGTAGCCGCTGATGTTATTTCTGAGCGAAGTACAGCTGGTGGTCGATTCAAGAGTTTTTAGAGGTGGTGACGCCATTGTTTCCTTTATTTCTCTCTTTTGGTAATTAGATTCCCTATATCATCTTTTATTGGTTTCATCTGTGTTGATCTCTTCCCAGATAGTAGCTTAATTATTTGATATAATGTTATCAGGTCTCTCCTATCTGCAGTGGCCTGTTCTGCTTCACTTGCCAGTGTGTCGTGGTATTTACTCGGATTGAATTGTCTCAACTTTTTCGACTATCAATTATTAAGTGTTTCTGTTCGTTCTCACAACTACACAGAATGTTTCTTTTCTATTGTTTAGTGACCAATCACATTAGAGCATCAAAAAAAAATACTTTACAATAGATTGAAAAACTTACTTGAATCGATTTATTTGATGTGTTTTGTAGATGTGTTGAAGTAATCAAAGCTCCACTTGTTGTTGTTGTTGGCACAGCAACAGTTGATTGATTGACTGACATTATACAATAATGAGGATGATTATCTGACTGTATTTCTCCCATTGACTGTTGTTGTACTGATTGATGATGATGTTGTTGTTCATCTACGCCTACAAGTATCAATTGTCGACTAGATAGCCATTGAGCAATTTCATCAGTTTCATCTGAATCATGAGATCTAGAGGTAGTCTGGTGAGAGAGAGAGAGAGAGAGAAAAGAGAAAGTAGATGAAGAGGACAGGCAAGCAATAAATCAATCAACCAATCACATGAAAGATGAATATACCATTGAGCAACAAAATCAAACATACAACCTAGCAAACAAGTAGCGCTACTCAAGTTGCCATATTTCACAGTAGTAAACAAAAAAAAAACAAGCGGTTACAAAACATTGTGTGTGGAACAAAAAAAAGTGGTTAGTGTGAATACATCTGCGCCATTGCAAAAAAAAACGTGGAGATGGATTGGATATACACTGAGTAGACCATTCGAGGACATCACGCACCAGGCCAGGGCGTCGAGTGGAACCAAAGGGACAACGACGAGTTAGGCGTTTGAGGGTGACATGGAGGAGATGGTGTGAGGAAGAAATGAAAGCTTGTGGTCTGTCGTGGAGCCAGGTTCAAAAGATTGTAGAGAAGAGAGTGTAATGTCGATGCGTTACTGAAGTCCTATGTTACACTAGGAACCCAAGGGAAAAATAATAATAATAATATTGTAACCGGTTGATATTCAACTATGTTACTAAGAGTCCTCAATCACTGATTCCTTTCGTTTTGGGGAACCCACCGTTATCAGGCAGTCTATATCTCCCACAAACGGCTCACACCAACAGTGTCAGGTGTTGCTAAACACACCATAGTCTGTGTGGAGTACTATCTCCATTGGTCAGTATGCTAAGAAAACTTTCAAGATTGCGTTTCTCCAGGAGCTTTTACTAACCATAATGAATTTTCATCAGCTCAAGAAACCATATTCACATGTAATGAGACCTAGGCCATAGTTAAGTGACTAAAGACATTTTTGGAAATACATACTTATCAGGTTGCACAACTGACTTGAAAATACAATCAATTGAAGTGCTATCAGCAACCTTATGAGAATCTGTTCATTAAGCAATGAATTACATCTATTGTATGTTGCTATAACTTCAGTAAGCCGAATGGTATTAGGATAAGGCAACCTGTAGAATGGATCCACCAAGGAGAGGATCTTCGTATTCTATGAGCGCAGTAGTTTAAACGTGAAGTCTTCATTGTCATTCTAGACAACATCATCAACACAAACTTCAGAAAGAATTGTGATATAAAGTTATCCCTAAAAGTGGCTAGATAGTTTATCCTGATGACCTTGGCTATGATTGGTTGATTTTATCAAGGTCATATCGTTCCCTCTACGCTTACTTTGATTGGTTGTCAAGCTGACATGAATTCTAAACTTTTCTTCTTGCTTATTGGTTGATAGATTGGCTCAAATATCAATTTATATGTCAATTGACGACTGATCTCAATACTAAGTCGTCTAAAAATCCTCTACCATTTTTTATATTTTCTTGATTCAAGATTACTATATTCTCTCAGTCGAATTCATTTCCACAGTTGTCTGTAAATAATGATATCAGCGAACATATGTCATGACGCTTCACTGTTAGTTGATGTTCATACAGATAACTGCGAAGAATGTAACTACTCTCTGGAAATTAGTGTTTTTTCACAGTTTCTTTTGGCCTGTATAACAGAGAGTGAAGCAATTTTGTGAACTTATGAGCTACAAAAGGCTTCAATTATCTAGTTGTGACCTAGGAGATAATCTTCATGTAGAATAAAACAATCTATTTGTTTATTTCAAGGTTGATTTCTTGGTTGTTGGTGAATTATGTAAACAGTCATCAAATAGGTTTCTTCTTTTCTCTTCCGGCTTGATGTACTACAATATATTTTGTCTCTTTCGGACATTGCTTTTTTACAATTGATTTTATGTGCTGTTGGACTGTTCCCATTTCGTTGTTGAGGATTTGATCCCTGTCAGTTAGTTTTCTTTCAATGATAACAAATGTGTGTTATCTATACATCGGATCCAAAGTTTCAGTTCGATCAACGATCATACTACAGTTACTAATCTTTACAGTACTATTTCTACAGTTAGTCATGATACAGGCGATCCTCTTGGTGTTCCATTCATCTTCTTGTAGAGTTTGTCGTTCAATTGAAAATTTACTCTGTCTGTTGATATTCATTCGAAGTGCAGCCACCTCATCCTGAAAGTTATCGGTTTGTTTTGCCAGTTATTTACCTCTAGTGACTCCACCGTAGCTACTGCTGTACCCATCAGTTGTCTACTCACCAGCTCACTAATATCCATGGGTTAGGCTACGTTGACTAGTCATAGATGCTGGGTGATAGCATTAGGGACACTTCCGTTGAACTATGCAGCCAGCAACTATGCCTAAGAGTCCTCATCTAAAGTGAGAAGTGTTTGTCGAAGTAGTTTATTCAACTTCAAAGCCAATAAAAGCGGATCTTCGTCTATTCCAAGTCCCGTGCTTCGGAAGTGTTGCATCGCCAGCTCCCTGTCCGCTGGGATGTCAAACTCCGGCTTCAGTAGTTCAACCATTCTCTCCCAAGTCTCTTTTCCATCCACGCCTTCCATGCCGTCATATGCTGCGTTTGCTCTACCTCCCAGCAACGTGTTAACCACTAGTACTTTCACTCCTGGACCCCGGAAACCCAACAGCTCCGCAACCAACTCGAAGTCCCTGAGGAAGACCTTGATGTCTCCATCCTGGAACACTGTAGGTCACAGAATCTTCATCACGTCTAGAAGCAGTGACACCGATTGTAGAAAACGACAAGACGGAGGCGCAAGACGGAATGTTTATCATTGACATCTTGTACGGTAGTGATGAAATACTGTACACCTTACGTTAAAATGCTCATTTGAACAATGTACTTCATTTCCTCTCCTCCACCTATCATAACTTACTCTTAATACGCCCAAGTATCTCTAGCATTTCTCTGATAATTGCCTATGATTTCTGTCACCCTCTCACAATATACTACTTATATCCATTCTGATCAGCAGAACCCATTACACTACCATACCAGAAGGGTCTGTTGGATGGTGGTAAAATGTAAAGCAGTTACCGCTGAAGTGCAAACTGCTACACTATGATGGAGGTTCCAGGGAAAAGTCGTACTCCTGGATGAGTGGGATGTGACAGTAGTTAGGTGTTTTCCTTGGATGACTAGTAGTTCCATTTTGATACTGCCTTCTCTATGGTAAGGGTGAGAAGGTTTGCCTCTTAAATAGGACACTTCCCCCTGTCTCTATGATCTCCTGGTACCGGCGGTATGGGTTTTCTCTCTTTGACGCTATAACAAGCAAATCTCAAAACCCTTCCAGGTAGTAAGTAAATTCCTTATCTTCGGTTGAGAATGAATGGGTCAGACAATAAATCAGCGGTATTGTAGACGATCTCTACAGCAACAATGATCAAGTCATCATTTTGACCATCAGAGGTAGAAGCCATGGGTTGACAGACTAGTATTTATACTGCATGATGATTGAAGGTGACATGAAAGTTTGGATCACTGTTGGATACAAACCACCGACCATTGAATTTCCGGTCCGATGCTCTATCAACTGTGCTATGAAGTTCAACTGCTGACCACATCTTTATTTTACTTCAATCACCATGGGTCAGCAGTCGGACCTCGTAGCTAAGTTGGTAGAGTACCGGACAAGTAACCCGGAGGTCGTTGGTTCGAATCCGTCTGCATTCCAGATTTCCATTTCACCTTTTATCGCCACCCAGTACAATGTATCACAAACTAGTTAACGGAGTTCTGGAAATTAACATTGTTTTGAGCACTATTTAGACACTGTTAGAAGAACCACAAGAATACTGACAAGGTGGGAGCAGGACGAAATGTGCACTAGCTGCTAATGAAAAAAACAGAGAGGTCTACTAATTAAGAATCGCTCACCCTACTAGGTTCCTCTCTTATATCCAAAAGACTTTCGTCATCGTCATCATCATCATCGACCGCATTATTATTATTATTTATGGCTTCACGGTTTCTTTGTACACCGTTGATACGATGACAACCGGTGACAATACAATTGGTAACAGATTGATTCCCAGTTGACCGGAGAGAAGAAGATGGTCCCACTGTAATTGCTAACTGTTGTTGTTGCTGCCGTTGCCGGTTTGATTGATTATGTCTTGCAACAGTGTTACTCCCTGATGGACCGGTTAGACAAAGCTGTGGTTGAGAGCTGTTCAGATGGTTAACGGTAGAATGATCATCGGAATTTTGTAAAGATCTTTGATAATAACGTTCAAAACGATCATAACTACAGAAAAAGAAAGAAATAACAAAGATGGACTGATGTGTCAACGACAATTAATTGCAAAGCATTGCTCTGAAATGTGAAATTTGGTAAACAATTCGTAAGATACTTATATCTCAGCAACATCACTTACTATTGGTGAGAATATATGATAGGGCGATAGAGGGGGAAAAACTAGTTGGGAACGGACCAATCAAGATACAGTTTGCGTTAATCACGTGTTTAGTTAGACTGATAGACGATCGATCAGTCAATCAGAATTGTTACATTAAAGGCCGAACTATGTATATATTTAGAGATATTCTTCTGTGTTTATTGACTTGGGTCTTCAGTCTAAATACATGTTCCCATATGACCAGTGTGTCTTCCACATTTAATTAGACAGGTAGGGAATCAATCACAAAGATGTCGAAGGTTGGTTGCTGACACTCGATATCTGCGTGTCGTTAGTCACTGAATTAGTTTTAAAATCCCAATAATATGATTTGATGAGACTGCATTATTCACTAGGTTATTTCACTTAGATAGTCGACAGAGTTGGATGTGACGTAACTGTCCTATAGTCCAAGTTGCTACACCTACTATCAGCCTATTCAGGTAGTAGACAAAGGTGAAAGACAGAATACATCTAGGCAGAGAGTAATCAAAAGTGGTAGAGGGTTGTAAAAAGAGAATAAGAATGAGATGAAATAATAATAAATAAATTCCATAGGATGATTTAGATAATGTGAAAATATATCCGGACTACTTGGTCTTGAACCATCGATTCAGCTGTCATTGCTGACTTCAACTAGTAAGTAAGTAAGTTTCTCTACATTGGCTCAGAATAGGAATTACAGACGTCGCCTGTTACATTTCTTTCTGCCTGAGTGTACTTCAGCCAATTGATAGTCAATGCTTTTGTCTCATCAATAAACTTCTATAATCTGATGCCAACTGTGATATGAACAAGACATCCTATTCGATTAAGATGATACAACTCCGTAATATGTATAGATGCTTTTTTACCAAAAAATATATATGTGATAGCAGGGGGTTATTATCATCTTACTAAAACAACTATACAGCAACCTTCAATGGTCAAAATAGTTTCATTAGATAATGAAGAGTAATAAACTTCCAAATAACCTGCTCTTCTGCAGCTGATTACATATACCAGACATAGTGTGTTCTATTCAAACGCATCTTTGAACACTATCTCGCACGACTATGTAAATGATTAAGTTATCTGCGTTCATCGTGCTCCATAAGAGTTTTCCTTCAAAGTTATTTATCAACTGAAGGCAAACATTTTGAAGAGTGCGTACTCATCACCTTAACTCAGCACTACAAACCTATTCTTTATCTTCAAAAAAGATACATCCAATCTCTAATTTTATCTTGATTATAATCTCTCTAAGATATTTTATTCATTTCTTTCTCTACTATTTGTTTAAATATGTATAATTCTATAAACAATTTTAGGTGACCTTGGGTTGACCTTCTCGCCGTTATCACCTTGTAACTTTATTAACTATCTTTGATGACCTTGAGTTAACTTATTAGCTTTTAGTGGATATATACTTTGTTGCAACTACGAAACAGACAATTATGCGGTTCCAAAACATGAACTGTTTTTTTACCCAGAAGCTTTTATAATAAAATGAAAGAAGTTTTAGTAGAAAATTGGATCGAAATAGGAGGAGAAAGATAACAGTCGGATATAAAGTACAGTAAGAAGTCATAAACTTATTATTTTTCTCGGTAAACTGTAATCGATTCAAGAGGGAGGGTTGGAAAAACATTGGAAACTTGAGAGCACTCGATAGCTGTTTCGTCCCAGTATAGGACTCTTCAGCAGTGCGCTATATTAAGAACTGAAAGAAGTAAGAAATATGGACCATTGGATCCCGACTCAGTGGGTTGATGGTAATATTATGGCTACAAAACCTAAAGATCCTGGGTTCGATCCCTAGAGGGGAAGGGTCATGGGTGCGCACTGCTGAGGAGTCCTATACTAGTCAGACAAAACAAATGTCCAGTCCTCCCATGTTTCCAATGTTCCTCAAACTGATGTCAGTCCATGATGAATTGCAACCTGAAACTATAATTAATAAGCCATGAAATTCAAGTTCATGCTCTTGCTGTCTGCTTCAAACAGTTTCGTTTCGCTTTTATCTTGTCCTTCATAAAGTAACCTCAAAGTCATCATGCTTCTGAATACATCTGGGTACTTAACTTTAAGTTTACTTTACAAATCTGTTCAAAATTTATGAATGTTTTAGATCAGTAAAGTTTATGATAGCAATTTCTTATTTCCACTAAATTGATGCTTTCATCTTTTCCTAGACTCATCAGCTGAATCCACTTCCATCCCAGCGAGTGCTATTGTTGAAGTATCGATAAACAATGACTGATACCCGTTGCATAAGAGGCGGCTGTCCTGCTTTGGTGGCCTACTGGATAACATTTTGTCATTTGACATGATGGGTGGTTAATTCGAGACTCAACGGGAACAAAATACATACCGAGGGTGAAGAGATGTCAAGCTGATGAACTCCCCATAGGACGAAAAGCGCATCAAGCTAGATTCTAGTGCTAATCAGAAAGTAGACCACGAAATAATGAATATACAGGTAGTGTCGAGTTCCTCGGAGAGGAGCCTATATGTAGTTCAACGTAGTATAGCGACGGGAAATTACAAGTTTCCTTGACTGTTGGTTTGAGCATTGTAGGGTGATATAGACTACCCTGTTGGGATCTGCATAACAACAGAAACCAATGAAGAGTGATAAGTCAGTTGATCCGGTTGTGAACCTTCATTGACTGAGATGGTTGGCTGGGATATGTGTTATGTATGCCTGGCCACCGTCTGCCTCGTCAAGCAATGTTGGTCAAAGTAGGTTCAGGTTGGTAGGAAGCTCGAGGCAACCAGACTAAAGTATGGCGTCAATGCATGAAGTCCTCGACTGTTTGTTTGAGCCATGTAAGAGTCGATACAGACTAGCCGATCAAGGTCCGCGAGACAAGGGAAATGAGTGAGTGGTTGGAGAATCTAGGTGACATGGCTAGGAACTGATTTCAGTGGCGCAGATGTATACATACATTGTCCTTATCTCTTCTTTTACCACTTTCTTTCCTTCTTTGACTCCTATTTTATTACCTTGTTACTTGATGCTCTGATATGACATGCGGCAAGTTGGACTGTTACACAGTAATACCTGGTCCTATGTTGATATTGATGATGATGATATAGGTTCACAACAAGAAGTAACTTCGGTCTACTTAAGCGGTTAGTATTACAGACCATCTCATGCAATAAGTGTGACTCATCGCTTGGCATATCGAAACCTGTACTGGGGAAAACCTTTTGATTACCCTGAATTTCTCATAATCCTAAATTCACGGTTATCGCAATTAGTTTATCATGAATACAAATGATGGTACGTATGACTTCAGTTAATTAGTTCGACGAATCTCGCAAAATACTAAAACATTAATGATACTGTATAATGGTTGATACGCTGGACCGAGGAAAACATCTTAGAAGATTTGGATTTCGCCGATGATTTGTGTCTTATGTCACACAAACTCAAAGATCTACAGGCAACATCCAACAAGTTGACAAAAGAGGCAGGGCAGGGCAGCGAAGACGGGACTTCAAGTGAACGTAGGGAAGACAGAGGTGGTGAAGATACCCAACCAATGCCACCACCACCAGCAAGAACAACAAGAAGAAGCTGCAATCACCATGAAGGGGAGAAACTTGAAGAAAGTAGTCTCTTTCACCTACCTAGACAAGGCAGGATCGTTTTGACTACAGGTGGCGGCACAGGCACAGGCACAGGTGCAGCCGAGGAGGTCAAAGCCAGCCAGCCAGCCAGCCAGCGAGGATGGGAAAGACAGAAAGACAGGCCTTCGTGCATTAACCTGAAACCAGTGTGGAGATCTTCTGCACTCAGCATAAAGGGTGAACAAAATCTGGATTTTGAACACCAACGTCAGTCAAGTGAGTGCTTCCATGTGATGGTTGAGAGACTTGGTGCGTTATGAAAGGCATTAGCAACAAAGAGCAGACATTCATCAACAACTGCCACCTACGCTCACTCGTTACTGAAGCTCAGATGGCCAGAAAAAATGAGCGACAAGGTAGTGACTCTGGCTACGAACCAACCAAGAACATATAGCTGCACTAAGAAGACCATTCGGGAACATCAAGCACCAGGCCAGGTCGTCGAGTGGGACCCAGGTGGTAAACGACGAGTTGGGCGTCCAAGGGTGACATGTAGAAGGTGGTATGAGGAAGAAAGGAGAGTTTGTGGGCTGTCGTGGAGCCAGGTTCAAAAGATCGCATAGAAGAGAGTGGAATGGAGACGTGCTACTGAAACTATATGTTCCACTAGGAATAATAATAATGATTGAAGGTGAAAATGAAACGCGAACCATGAAAGGATTGTGACCAACGACCTCAACGTTACTAGTCCGGTATTCTACTCACTGAGTTGAAAAAAACAATCTGTCCAAGATGTCTTGAAATTACTTAAGTTAACTTGCCATCTTTCCCAGTTGTCATAATGAGAATGCATGATATATAACTGTCAAATCATCTTAACCGAATTCACTGTTCACTAAAGCTTTCTTTTTCGAATCCTAATCGATTATAATTGAAGATAGTGTTGGAGACGATGGTTATTTATCTGTTATACTGTAAATTTGTTCAAGTTTCAATTGTTAAATGGATAAAACTCTGGCGTTTAAAGTGACAATATCACTCACTGGGGTGAATGTGCATGTAGCTGGATTCCGCTGATAGGTGTCAAGTAAACTTCAACATAATTATATAGTTTAGTTGTGTATTTACGGATAACTTAATCAAACTCAATACTATAACGTATTATTATACCATTAGAACACAAATGTGGTACAGTAAGGGGACCAAGAAATGCACCACACAAAGTAATATAAAAACATTATGAAGACAGAAAGCAAAGGGAAATAGATAAAAGTAAAAATCCAATAAGAAT